AAAGGAATTATATATTTCTCTTTAAGTAGATTATAACCTTAATAAAGCAGATAATATTAATATAATAAGAGATTTAAACTAGTATATATACTACTAAATATATATAAGAAAGTAACCCTAAATATCCTTAATTCCCCCTACTATCTACCTATCTAAGTTTATATAATATGCCCCTATAGATTAACTAAATTAATATATATGCCATTCTGCTAGGCTATCTGCAAAGTTAGTATATATATAGTTATTCTAACCATAGGCATAGGCTATATTATAGCAAGGATTAGAGGCCTTACTTAATATATTATATCTTACTATTATAGCATTTAAGCTATCTAGAAAGGCATAGTATTAGGGACTAATTAAGCTAACTATTAATTAACTATATTATAAAGCTGGCTAATATATCAGTTTCCCTTAATACTATATCCCTGGTTTTATATTACTATAATTACTAAAGCCCTAGTAGGAATAAAGCTAGTATTATATACTATATAAAGCTATATTAGCATTAGGAGACTTATATTTATATTAGCTCCTAGGGGAGCATTCTAGGCTATTTAACTATTAGTATTAAATATATTATATACTAGCTATTATACTCCTAGATTCTCTTAGCTATAAAAAACAAGTCAGGGGATAGGCTAAAAAAAGCCTGCTGCCTTATATATTACTTACCTAGTCCCTAAGTAACCAGGAAGGTTATTTATAGTAATAGCAGGCTATAGGATAAACTAGTTATTTTAGTTTAAAGGGACTAGGCAGGAGATAGTTTAAGTATTATCCTTAAAGATCTTAAAGTTATTATTCTTATTATTATTTAGAGTTATTATTAAAGAGATAGAGATATTATAAGCTAGGGGGTTTATTAGATTACTTAATATCTTAAAGGAAGATATTATATTAAGGAGAAAAGATAAGAAATTTATCTTTTAATTTATATATATATTTACTAATTAACTTATAGCTATATTAAATACTTACTATATAAATTAAGAGTAATAGAGGAATTATTTCTATAGTATAACTAAAGGCATAATAATAGATATCCTATATATAGTATCTCCCTTTATTGATTTAAGTTAAGAAGAAGAAGGCATATATTATTAAGTTAATTATATTATAGTTATAATAGAGAGGGCTTCTATATATTAGTATTAGTTATATCTGTAATATAATAAGGCTCTTTTTATATCCTTAATATTATAAGCAGATAACTATTCTTATATAATCCTATTAGTTAGAAGGTTATATTACTTCTGTATTATTTGCAGTAAATAGAGGCTAGGCAGTGGATTAGTAATATAAAATATAAAATAATAAGTAGTTATAAAGACGAAAAATACCACTAAATAGCTATTTTAATTATAAATGGTATTATTATTAAATAGCAGTTGTGCATTTAATCCAAAGTTAGATATTTAGCCTTATCTGCATAACCGGTTATGCGAAAAACACGTGATACTAAACGCATAGCCGGTTGTGCAGGTATGAGTCCCCTTGACGATTGGATTGCTGACACCGCGTCAATTCGTTACAGTGACTGCGCCTCCTAGCTCTTGCCCACTAAAATGTCAATTTATATCGCGTCTTTCGCTTGATTCAGCCAAAACAAAGCCCCGTCCCAATGTCCGGCAGCACGACGTCGCTTCTTAGGCGCCCAGCGATCATAGCGGCACGGCGTGGCCCGACACGGGCTCGCCGCACCGTTCCACGACCAGCCTGGGCTCGACTGGCTGGGCTCAATACTGTTCTCCTCCTCGTTTTCGCTGTCCTCCACCTCATCGTCCTGATTTATGGTTGTGTCCGCGCACGCGGCTTGAACGCCGCCTGGATCCTCTACCAAGGCCCTTGCTCCCGATCCAAGACAATCAACCTGTTCCTACACCTGCTTCTCAACGTCTTCAGTACTCTGATACTGGCCTCATCTAACTACTTCATGCAGATTCTCAATGCACCATCCCGGGTTGAACTCGACCGCGCCCATGCTCGCTCCGGTTGGGTCAACATTGGAGCTCCGTCAATGCGCAACTTTCTCTACCTTGGGCCTGTCAAGTTTACCTGCTGGCTCATCTTGGCCTGCAGCTCCGTTCCTATTCACCTTTTCTTTAACTCGCTTGTATTTCAGGCTGCAGAAGTTCGGTCTGGTTTCGGAATGACGATTGCAGCCGAGAGTTTCGTCAAAGGCGCTCAGTACTATGAACCTGGTGCAAGCCTGTGGAATACCGCTGTGCCGAACGATTGTAGCAGTAGCTTGAGTAAAGAACTCTGCAAAGATGGTCTTTTTGGTAACGGTACAAATGGAGACATGTCAAGCGGCATCATCGATCCGGTGACATGGATGAACAAAACGTCCGAAGAGAGCTTGAATATCTCGAGAGCGGCTAGCGAGGCGAGCACATCGTGGCAGCGGCTTGATCCCGCCGACTGCCGTTCCAATTTCCTATACTGCGACAAGGGCACTGGGCTAAAGGGTTACCGAAGCGTACTGCTGGTAGTCAATGCAAGTGAATCTGGCACATCTGGCTGGAAGCGCGATGAGGTTTTTCCCAACATGACGAACGTAGACGCCAAATTTTGGGACGATATGATTCCTGCCAAAGAGACGAATTCACTCTGGTACTATGAGTATTGCAACATTGCGACAGCATTCGATAACGGCAAATGTCACAATACGTGCAAAACCAGCCTGGGATTCGACCAAATCGCGGTTGAGAGCCCTTCCGAGGTCGACCCAAAGAACGATACTAGAGATTCCACCTGGAGCTTCTCTTTCTGGGGCCCCAAGTCACTAGAGAAAAACATTCTCAAGGCACAGATGCGTGGTGGCTTTGACGTCAGTTACAACACTTTGAATGTGTCGTACTGCCTGGCAGAGAAAGAGGAGCAACAGTGCAAGATTGGCGTGCCAAACCTACTTCTTCTAGTGGCACTCCTCTGTGTCCTCGTCAAGCTTTCTCAGTGCATCTTCGTCATGGTCCGGTATGTTTCGAACGGCACGGGAGATCTGCTGGTGACACCAGGCGATGCTATCAAGTCGCTGATCTGTCGGCCTGATCCGACAACCACTCGCATGTGTACGCTGGAGATGCGAGACGTTCAGTTTACCTGGGACAGGCTCTTGGGAGCATCGAGGAGATACAAGGGCTACCGTAGAGAAGCATACGGTGTTGAGATGCTCCACGGCGATGTCGAGCACGAGTTCCTCGCCCCCCAAGCGCGTCAATGGAAAGCCCAAAGGCGGCGCTTCTTTCGAGCTCTTCCTATCAATGTGTGGCTCAGAACGTATGCCATACTCCTGGCTGTGCTGATCGCTGCTATCTACTACTTCTACCAAGCCACCGGCGGCAAATTCCAAGCGTATATATCATTGACCTGTTTCTGACAAAGCAGCGATTCATACTGACAATTTCTCAGATCTGGAGCCTTCGGTAGCAGCGGCATCAATAGTTTCGTCACCCTGGATGGGAGCCTGGGTTTATCGAACCAGTTTACCGGCGACTTTGTACGCTTGGTCCTACTTGCCAACATCCCGCAACTCATTCTTTCGATATCATACTTGCAGTTCAACTCTTTGATCACCAAGATATTCATGGCCAAGGAATGGGCCCAGATGAGCACAGAGTACCGTCCACTTCGCGTAACGGAGCCTCAAGGGGACCAGGTCTCGACGTACCGACTTCAACTACCCTATAGATGGGGGGTACCGTGCATCCTCGCAAGTGTCTTGCTTCATTGGCTGGCGTCTAGTTCTTGCTACGTGTTTATGGCTGATGGAGGTAAGGTGTCCTCTGTTTCCTAGTGACTGGACCTTGAACTGACACTTTCAGGCTTCTACGGCTCGATCATGGGCAGCCCGACGACGAGTCCCAACTCGATGGGCCTCTCGGGGTTTGGTTTTATCGCTGTGGGATACTCCACGATCGCAATCATGGTAGCGATTGTGGTCTTCGCAGTCGTCATCTGTGTCCCCTTGCTGCTTTCAATGCGAAGACTGCCAGGTGACATGGTCATTGTGGGAAGCAACTCTCTCGCAATTGCTGCAGCCTGTCATGCCTCCAAAGCCTCCAAGGTCGATATTTCTGACTGTAGTTCAAAGACGGATACTTCCGGGCGTGAGACTGGCATGGAGCTGACAATCTATCCTCATCATAGGGATGAAGAAGGTGACGATATGCGGACATTGTCGGTCTATGCGAGAATTGCAGAGAGCAAGGTCAAATGGGGAGTTGTGAGAATGGAAGACTCCTTTTATAACGAGCTTAAAGATGAGGTGGATGTCAATGAGATTGGGCATCTTAGTTTCGGGGTTCAGGACGACGCGGTGGGAAAGCCTGAGTTTCAAAAATGGTATATCTAAAAGAAGTTAGCACATTGATACTTCGCGGGAATGTCCAAAGGGATACTCTTCGGGGGTGCCTTGATCTCAAGTTTTGATGTAACCTTTGGCATAAGGTTGAGCTATTCGCTTGGTTATAACTTGTTGCTTGCTCGTCATTCCTTGGTGTAACTACGAACGGGAATGGCACGGGTCAACAGGTATCTGCACGGGATAGGCGCAGCGGAGACAAACGCATGCGACTGTGGCGGGGAAGAAACGGTCGATCATTTCCTCTTCCGATGCCCACGATGGGACGAGCAACGAGAGCACTTGCGAAATGTCGACCGGGAAATGAGGGCATTGTGGCAGTGTTGAGAGGTCTCTTTCAGGTGCACATAGTGATCCCTTTTGGCATGATCAATAATTGTGCTGCGTCGGCGCTTCTGAGGAGGTCTATCGTCGTCCGTCTGGTAGTAATGCGGATCTATTTCATCACGGAGGCCTTTGACGTATGACTCACTGGCATAGCGCGCTGCTTCAAAAGCTTCTTCCTGCTTGCCCTGGAGCTTGGCCAGAGTAGAACTTGCATTCGAGTGTGCAAATTGTGCTTGTTGCAAGTTCTTATCGGCGTCATCGCGGAGTTGCCCCTAGCCATCCCAACTGGGACGTTTGTCTCCATCAATTAGATGGGGGAGGCAGTGCTTTGCCTAGAGGGTATTTCCGTGTCGGTCATTGCGGTATCGTTCGTGTTGGTGTAGTGACTCAAAGCTCCCCCCATGAGAACGGATCCCGTTGAGAGGTCGAGTGAGAAAGTCGTGGGCGCATCCTGGAACACCTCGATTGAAGAGACGGGTGAACCGGGGACATCGCTATTGTTATCGGGAAATTCGACGGCGTTATCGTAATCTGGTAGAATCTCGGATGCAGCTCGTGAGCGATCGAGTTTCGTAGTCCTCAACCGCTTGAGAATGGCGTTCGCAGTCGCAACCGTCAAATGAGGCTCAGGTCGTTCAGCATCAGCCGGCAAATCTACTTCACTATTTAAGCATGAAAAACCTACGGCTTGATAGATAAAACTCTACTATATTCGCTCAACAAGACATCGTATCGGTATCTTTAGCGTTGCCTCTCGGTCTGTTATTATTCTCTCCTCTCCTCCTCTCCATAAACGTAGGAAGCTAAGAACTACCAGCGGCTGCGTTGAGCGAGTCATTGACTGACAAGGAGGTTTAAGCGACAGGTTCACCGTGCTTTTTGATTCCAGCTGAGGTTTTTGAGAGATGTGATAGATGATTGCCTCTGTCTTTAGGTCGCGTCTGACGCCTGACTGCATATATTTCGAAGAGTGCTGTTGATGATAGGTTATCTTTCCTTTCAGAAAGGCAACGTGAATCGACGGGCAAGAGAATGGACCGTCAATGCTGGATCGCGCAGTCTCAAAATTTCACCCTTCAAGAACTTCACGTCTTTCGAGGCTGGCCAAAAGTTTCCATCCATGAAGCCGAGCCATTCTTTCGGTCGTCATTCTAACTCTGTTTTCCTTCTTCATCACTTGATTATATATTTTATATTCTTTTGCTTCACCTTGCCGCCCATAAACAAGCTTCAATCCGCAGGTCTCTCCGATGCGGTATTCTTTGTTGCATTGTTCGCGAAACTTGCCCCACCTCCAATTAGGTAATAGATCAACTGTTTAACCCTACTTGTGAAACCCCTGTTAGGAAAATCAGATCGAGTGGATTATAAACCGAATACGACGGATGCAACCTGAATCACTGTGGCTGTCCAATCTAACCCCCTTATCCCAGTAGGATGATTACATATCAGCCCTCTTGAACTATCCTAACCCTGCACAGCTAGCCGTTTGCATAATTGACTGTCCAATGGGACGGGGTTCTAATTACCTGTTTTGAACACCTGCAGAATTCATGGTGTACAACCCATAATGGTGCCTGCGATCATCTGTTCAAAATCATACGCAGTTAGGACTGGTCAGAAATTAGTGTGGGCAGTTTCAGCTACGCATGCAAGCGCACGATTTGTTTTCCTTGTCTGGAGGTGACATACTGGCATCCTTATTTCCCCGTCACCGTTCTCCCGGTACATGGTGAGTTAGGCTTCCTGTATGCATAAGCAGTTAAAAGTACTCTCTTGTCGGTTTTCCTGAATCTTAATTGAAAACGGTCTTGTAGCGCGAGTTATTTTGTTTGCAACGACTTGCGAGAATTGCTATGTTATCATCTTTTGCCGCCTATACTCTTGGGCTTTTACTATATAGTTCTCCATTACATATCACTTCATTTATCAGTACAGAAAGACAGCCACCAAGAAGATTTGAGGCATTTCATCAGATGGGCCTCTTGCAGGTTACATATCATTTGATCCCTCGCCTCGAACATTTTTCAATCCCATGGAAAACAACTCAACCTATGTCCATCTTCATACATTGGGGGATTGGTGGTCAGGAAATCATTCAATCCCGCTTGGTACGCCAGGAGATGGAAACCGCATGATAAATTGCGTCTACACGCATGCTAATCCTCTATGCGAAAGCTCTGTCTATAATTACGATGCCAACTCAATCATGCCTTGGAATTCTGTCAACCCTATGCTCGACTCTACCTATTCGTGGAATGGTTTTGATTTTACCACGGAGTACGCCAGTCCACTGCCAATCCCTACGCATATAGTTACAAAGGAATTGTCTGCTCCTCGAGTTCATTCGTACCTTCCCTTGGCGGCAGAATATCCGAACCCGCAGCAGAATCATGATCCTGAGGATCTTTCAATTTGTGAACCGGCTAGACAAAGGTATTTCAAACATGAAAACCTTAATCCAGGGCCGAAGAACAACATACAGTCTACTCCTCGTCGCACAAGGAGTGTCAGCAGCAGTAGCAGTCAATCAACTCAACAGAGCAGCGATCGCGTTAAGAAAGTCCAAGAACAAAATCGAATCAGAGCGTCTAAGTCCCGTATCCAGCAGAGGGAAGAGGTATCAAGTCTTACGTCTCGCATGCAGGAACTAGCTCGTATCCGCCGCGAGCTTTCCACTTGCGTAGCCGACTTATCCCTCGAGATATGTGAGCTTAAGATGCAAATCTTACAGCAGTCGGGGTGTAACTGCCCTCTCATGCAGAATTACCTTGCCCATACGTCCCGGCAGTATGTGGAAGAGATGATGGTGGAGGCGCGGTCAGGGGTTTCGTTACATGGAGGGTCGTTGCGGAGATAACCTCCGGATATTGAATGTACATTGAGGCGCGAAATGTCAAACGAACAGCCGGCAGTAGGGATGAGCGCCACATTTTTTGAGTTTCTCCTTTTTCCCTTTAGTCTCCTTTTTTCTTTCCTATAGCTCAGTATAGCTGGGTGAGGAACTAGGCCATTGTGAAGGTGGCTGACCGAGCTAAACACTGGGGAGCATAGCCTATATGACATGTCACTAATTAGCATATAGAGGGCACCAAAGACCCGGTTGCACAACGATGTCTGAGGTCACTCCTCCGCATCCCCGCGGCGTGTATGAGAACGTCTTTCAAAGTAGAGGCCAGAGACAGCGGCGAGGACATTCTGAATATGTATATGAGCTGGGAGCATGGCGTCTGAATGGACGAAATGATAGGATGAATCTTATAATAAATACAGCTTCTCTTTGTCTGTACCGTTTCATTCTCGATCGCAGAGTCTAGATGTGACCCTAACCATGGTCTCGGGTGGGGGAGGCTATACATGCAAGTTTAATCACCACGTTGGCATGTCACATCGCTGTTCGGGGATATACTTCTGCGCATTGACCCTTGCTTGAGAGAACTACTGCGCCACATCCATGCGGCCCCTACCCCTGTAGCGGCCTTGTTGCTCCTATCTTGGCCTTTAATGCAACGTGCTGCTTTCGGACATGCAAGCTAACACCTGTCATATCTGGTGCTGCTTCCAAAATCCTGCAAGGCCCTGCGCATTATTTTAATTCATGCTATGTAGCATATAGGTCCAACGTGGGCAATCCAATTTAGCCCATAATATCTAGTCACCGGCGGCCATAGCTACGGAAGTGAGGGAGGGCCTTCGTCAGGGCGAAGCTGCAGAACTCTGCAGATCTTTTCTCATCACCATATTTAGCCAGATCGGCAAGGTGGAGTCCTTGATGCTTGCCCTGGTCAATATTGCCCAAAGCAGCGGAACGCATAGTGTTATGGTGGGTTTCTTGCTGGACGCGTAATGGGCCCGTGCCCAAAGCCACAACTGAAAACAGGTCCCGTCGTACTGGTAGACTGGAGAAGGGACCGATCTAGGGAAAACTGGCATCATGAACCAACATGTTTTGTAGGGAAACTTGGCAATCATCTGACTCCGAGCGACTCTATGTGACTAACAGCTTACACAAAAGATATTGATGTTGCGTGCTTCCATGCCATTACCGCGTGTCTGGTAGAGCTAACTCCAAGGCGTATCTAGTAGCACCGTTATATTTTGCTGATTAGTAAAGACGAAGTGTTTATGCGACTAATACACTTTAAGACGATATTTAATCCATAAAGAGAAGCTGTGTAATTTGGGGGAGACGCTTTGAGTCAATTTTTACCTATCTGCTCGCAGCACCACATCGTCTGATGTCATGGTTAGTCAAGGCTGATAAGCCGTTCACTGTAAGAGTCAGTGCGAGCCCTTCCGCCTACAGAAAGGGAATTATCACGGGTGAAACAGGAGCGACCGATAAGACCTCGTCCAAGCATCTGGCCGAACTCCCGAGACTAGTGTGTGTCAAACAAGGGAACTCGATCGCTCCGCTAAAGCCATAATTCGATAAGAGTGGAGACGCTTGTCACAATGTCATCGAAGGAGGCTAATGCGATGGCATCTGAGGAAATGTGGCTCTTATCAATGTATCTGAACTCGTCATTAATTGAGCTTGCAGCCTTGTGGCGAACGAAGCATGTCCTCTGGCCATCTTTTATTCCAGTATGACTTTGTTTGAACTGTGAAACCTGTATAAGCCACAATCACAGATTCGATGTATTCAGTACGCTTGATGGAACTACTTAACTATGTCCTTACCGGGCGGTTGTTGTTGACCTTGGCCATGCCCGAATGGCGTTTCGTGACTTGTGATGCTCATCTTTAAGAACCAATAAACTTTCGCCTGTTTCACATTTACTGGTAGTTGGAGGGGCGGTTGGCAGGAAGCGGCCCTAGCGGGGGGACGGCCCCTACTGAATAAGCTATGATCTTCAGCCATCTCTCTGCCGCCCAAGCCTCGGTATCGATAGTGACAATAAATTGTGCCAAGTCACGTAAGTGAGGAGTAACTGGCAACCAATGCGCTACCTTCAGAAGAGGGTATGGTATGTTGAGGACTTGAAGTGAGGTCCCAACGAGGCCAATAATATCACCCAGCGCCCTTCCTGTGCCGTGTTCAAGATGCCACTTGGATCCCTTTCACGTCAATGCTCCCTAACCTCAGGTTTTAATACCCATGATTTTCTTCATCACCCTTTTAAAACTGCAATAATCCTCTGTATTATTTGTCCTTGATATTTATACTCTTTCAATCCTTTCGCTCAACTGCTCTATTTCTCTATCATCGCATCTTGATAGCAATCGCTTTGCTCAATATGCATCCTACGCAAGAGGTCATCACCGATACCAACAAGTCTCCCTTAATAAAGGTCTTAACATTGATGTTTCTCGTCATATTCCTCTTATCATGCTCTGTCCGCATAGGAACCAAGATCCTTATAACAAAAACCCTGAGTGTCGATGATATTTTTACCATCGCTGCAACTGTATGTAGAGACCTAATAGCGCGGTCCATGATGCGAGATCTCTAACCATCCTGCGCTTATGCGCGAAGCTTCAGGCCCTTGCAATTGGGCAGTCTATCGCTACGATCATAGGGTGTGATAATGGACTGGGAAAGCCAGCTAGTAGACTGGACTCCAGCGAAATCGACATATTCTTCAAGGTAGGTATCTCAGCCGCAGTTCGCAGAGCCATGGGCTAAAGATCTGACCGAGCCTATGAATATAGAGCCAATATGCGGCCAACACCATGTTCGTCGCCTCCGTCTTCTGTTGCAAGGTATCATGCACGGTTTGTCTCCGGATGATAAGCCGAGAAAGCCAGAGATGGATCGTTCTTGGCTTTGAGGCCGTCATTGGCGGATGGGGAGCGTCTGCCCTTATCATCAATCTTTTTCAGTGTGAACTACCTACGCCATGGATATACGCCAATGACAAAAGATGTATCGACCGAACCGCTTTCTGGACTTATTATTCCATTACGAATATCACCACGGATATTGGTATCATTATTGTCTTTTGCGAAACCGTTCTGAAAATCCAAATACCATGGTCTAAGAAGATTTTTGCTATAAGCGTTTTTGGCAGTCGAATCCTGTATGTTTTACTCCCACAATGGTGATGGATCTGTCTCGCTTGCCTGTAGCGGAATGCACTAACAACGGCGGAAAAGTTTAATACCTGCAATTGCGGTTCAAATCTACCTATCCAACAAGGCATTTTCTTCCACCGATCTCACCTTTGCGTACTGGGAAGCTGCTATCTCTTTACAACTGGTCCAATGCCTCTCCATTGTCACTGTTTGTGTACCCAGCTTTAGGCCCCTTTTCAACAGCCTGGAATCCGGCCAGATTCGTATTGACGACCTGCGACGACAGGGCAAGTCTAGCAGCAGCAGCTACCCGAGTGATATGCCACAATATAGTGGATATAGGTCAAGTCAAATCAGCACTTTCGGCACCATATTACGGACAACGAGGTCCGCTGAGGAAGCAACTGTGACCGAATCGCGACTTAGAACAATACACGAATTGACTGAATTATCCAAAGGCAATCGCATGAGGAGCTATAAACTGGCGATGGAGCAGAAGAGAGATACTTCACACGAGCCATGCCGAACGAGTCATTCAAGTGAAATAATACTCATCCAGCAAGTATGTTAAGTTGAGGTATAGAGCCTGCATGAAAGCACTTTTGAGCAATATTGGAGAGAATCTCTCTTTTCCCCGGCTAAAGGAGTGAGACTCTAGCTCCTACACAGGGAAATAACATAGACTAGCATGATACGAGGAAGATGGTCAGGACACCGAGCACCTTGGGCGCCATGCCTTGTCGACATCAAGACCGATTGGAAGGCTATAGCGGGAAGAGAGGTAATGCAATACGATGCTATGCAGGGGGCTAAAGTGAGGAAGTTAGCAGGGGTATTTGTTATAAGGACAGGGTTTGTAACCATGTAGCCCCATTTAGCACGGATATGGCATGGGAGGATAAAGAGGGACCAGGTGCCAAGTTAACTGAATTGGCCGAATTGGTTAGAAACAGATTAATAAGAAAGCTAGTCATGGGAACGCTTTGATAAAAAAACTACTTAAAGATGTAAATCTAAGCTAAAAAGAGAGGTAATTTATTAACGCCTTTTACTTAGGCAGCTTATATAATCAGTAGCTTAAGGCTATTTAAGGGCAGGCTAAGAAAATACTAGATAAAACTAAGCCCTGGTAATATATAAATAAGGCTAAATATAATCTTAGATTATAAGAGTATAACTAAAATAAAAGAGGTGTTCATCCTAAGGCCAACGTCGTTCTGAGAGCAATTTTCTCCTGAAATTCCTCTTTGGTGCAGGTTAGTGTTTACATACACCATGAAGCATAATTGAGCACAGCCATTTCTTACTCCGCAATTTGCACAATGTTGAGAACACCACGCCACTGTCAATTCAAGTGGCTGCCTAAGTGAGTGTCCTTCTTTGCCAGACCAGAATGTCCCAACATAGCACTTTCAGTATAGATCCTAGTCGTTCTGATTTTCAAAAGCTCTTCAAAACCGTTTAGAATCACTATGAGCAAACTAGATATTACATTCCCTATCATAAATCTTCCAAACAACAAAGACCACGTCTAAGAATTATCTATTTCCTAATTGTAAATAACCTAACAATTTGAGAGATCAAGCTACATCTGCTCCAAGTGCAGACATTTCTGCCACAGGAGCTCACGGTACACCGTTCGTATAGGCTAACGGAATTTGTGAATCCGTTCTGTTTTTTGCCTCATTCACGTATGTTAACGGATGGAAGATGTTGAATATGACACTGACGACAAGCATCAAGAGGGCGTCAAAGGCGTAAAAGTAGGCCTTCGTGGAGCGTAGTTCGCCATTATAACCCTGACCATATCCTATCAAGTGGTAAATGGATCGGACAAGAATAAACATGTTCGCGATATGGTTTACCAGGAGATATTTCCGCCAGTTGATGGCTGGGCTGCAAGATCGTAGCGGGAGCCCCTTGGCAGCACGATGTTGGAATATCCCAGAAATCGCCATGAATAGGATGAGGAATAGTATTTGAACGGCAAACCCTACAGCGAGGATATTTTCTCCTTCTCTTCTTCGAGCTGCATACTTACTATCAGTGGCTTTCTGGCCGCCCATTTGATCCATGAGTATGTATCCATAATCCTGGATATAAAGCAAACATACCGACAGCCTGTAGTATCATTGCTAGTAAATCACCCACCAAGAGACCTTTGGTTAGCCACTTTGGCTTGATTGGGGAGTACTGTTCTGCATCCAGAACCTGGATGAGCTGCCCGATAGTCATATACAATGATGCAAAATAGCAAGTCGGTCCAATCAGTAGAAGCATATGCTGTGTCACATAAGGAAAGTTTGTGTAATCAGGTGATTCTGCGGCGCTGATGGTACGACCGCAAAACCCAATAGCTTCGCCTTCGGAAACAGAAATTAGTAATGGTTGGTTACTAATGGTGAGCGCAAACCAACAGAGAACTCCGGCTAAAAAGGGCAAAAAGAAGTATAGCTTTAACTTCCAAAACTGGATAATGTGAAGAATATGAAAGCCGAAGGAGATTGCATATAGGACCATAAAGATGATGGCAGCCGGAGGAGATGGGTCATAGCGATACCTGAAAGACATGATTGAAACAAGGTACGTAAGATGCAACGAAGAGTTGTAGTTAGCTGTGATTACATATATAATCCGAGTATAAGCTGCAATTCCTTGGCCAACTTGAAATAGAGTACCCTGGCTTATTTAAGGGCTATATAATACCAATTACAGCGGTGTAACCTATCGATAAAATTGGAAATCTACACGGGCAGCAAGGGACGATCTTCGCGATTTAACAAGAGGAGTCACAGCGATTTCAGGTCTTCTCACCAACTTTCATACATTTAGGTGGCTTAGACGGGGTGTGATGACGTTTTCAAGGCTTCTCGGCAGCTTTCAACCACCCGTTTCAGGTGGAGCGCGCCAACTGAAGGCTGTAATGCAAAAGGGTCTGCCTCTCTGCGACCTGTTTCACGGAGACGGGGTTTTCTGATATGTAAAATAACAACGGGTTGCTTTATGCATCCGAAACCCTAAGAGCTATGGAATGTCTGTGCAATGGTGCCTAGTCGCTGGTTGGTGGTTGTCTAGGGGGGCTGTGGAAGTTGATCTTCTTTTGTAGTTAGGATTGACGGAGTCCGCGGATCTCGTCCAGGAGACAAAAATATCTTGGGATGCCTGATGAACGCTTCTGTCGAACGCGGAATCAAATCCTTGTGATAGGGGTAGGATGGGGGGATCTTCAACCTCTAGCTTATCTATTCGACAAACATGCCTATACCTCTGGAGTGCAAATCGAGGACACCACAACACATAAATCGATATCGCCTTTTTGAATGGCCTGGCAAATAAGAAACTTTTTTTTTTTCTGAGATTATATATCCCTAATGAAAAGACCAACAAGATTGACTACTGTAGAAGGTTTAACAGTCTCTTACAGGGCAGTCGCACAGTCCTCCGCTTCACGCATTGCGGATTTCGCGGACCGCTCGGCCCGCGCCCCGAATTGGATCTTTTAGGCCAAACAGCGAACAGGGAATATTATACTACTAGAATTGGGAGTCAATGCCCAATGCAGGCACTGATTCGAGCTATTCGCTTGATTCTGAGGCTGGTGACGATGACCCTGCATAGCCCTTAACAAGTGGGTGTCTAGTAAGACTAAGGGCATGCTTTTATGACCAGGCTGGGGGTTTTCCAGTCTAATGGTATATGATAACCTGACAGAATGAACACATTTGAGACCTCAACAACAGAGCTACACCAAGACATTAGCTATTACCTCAAAACAACATCATGCTTTCATTTGACATCAACAAATACTCGCAGAGGCTGGTAGCACATATACAGCCACTCCCGCCGAGAAGTTGGTCTCATTCTTTGTGTTACTACGGTAGGTTCAGCCACTGCTATCGATGGACGAAGAAAGGTTCTCTCTGACTTGTTTAGCTTATTGTTGCCATTCCTACTGTTATTGTTTATCGACTCTATTTCCATCCTCTCGCCGAGGTCCCAGGTCGCAAAATCCATGCCATTACAGGTTTCCTTACACAATGGAAGAGTGACATTACAGGTACTTGGCTTCGAGAGGCAGCTCAACTTCATCGACAATACGGTCCCATCGTTCGAATCGGTCCGAATCATAATAGCCGTGGATGGAAGCATCGGCTGGCCTCAGGTCTACAGTCACCAGCCTAGCAAAGCAGAGTTCTCCAAATATCCCAACTTCATCTTTCCGGGTGATGGAATGAGTCTTATCGGTGCCCAAAAGGATTACCATCGACGTCAGCGACGCCAACTGGCTCATGCCTTCAGCGATGCCGCCCTGGTTGAGCAACAGAACGTTATCCTACAGTACATTGACCTCCTCATGAAACAGCTAACACAGCGTGCCGAGTCAGGCGAACCGATCGACATTGTGGCCTGGATCAACTTGACAACGTTTGACATCATAGGCGACCGTACCTTCTCCGAGAGCTTCGGAGGTTTGAAATCTGGTGGCTATCATCCGTGGGTGCGAAATTTCTTCGATGGCATTCGAGGTGAGGGCATGATGCGCTTGATGGACAGATATCTCCTCCTCAAGCCCTTCATCCTTGCGATTGGATACAAGCACATTTGAGAGTCTATGGAAAGCGCCGAAATGTCTATGGAAAAGGCTAAAGCACGCGTTGCCCTCGGTGAACAGCCATTTGAGGGGCGGCGAGACTTCATGACTTACATGCTCAGGCGAGGTAAGGATGGCGTGACTGCCATGAGTGAGACAGAATTGCTAGTCAATTCATCGATCGTCAATGGAGCTGGTAGTGAGACCACTGCGACTGCTTTGTCGGGCGCCTTCTTTTACATTGGCACACACCCGCAGGTTTACAGCTATCTCGTCGATGAGATTCGTGGCGCCTTCACCGATGCTAGTGACATAACACTGAAGAGTACAGCACAACTTCAATATCTACATGCGTGTATTGAAGAAACATTGAGAATTTACCCGCCTGCTGCCGAAACACCACCAAGAGTCTGTCCAGGAGCAACAATTGGCGGCAAGTATATCCCCAAAGGTGTAAGTTGACAATACCTCTTTCCTTCTTTCAAAGGCTGATGATCTCTAGACTGTTGTCACTGTCTATCAATGGGCTACCTTCCGAAACCCCAGCAACTTTGCCGACTCCGACTCATTCTGACCAGAGCGGCGGCTTCCCAAGACGCACGCTCTTTACGATGAAAAGTACGCAGGTGATAACCGCGCAGTGTTCAAGCCTTTCAGCTACGGCGCGAGAGATTGTATCGGCAAGAATCTTGCTTACGCGGAATTACGGGTCATTCTTTCTCATATTCTTTTCAAGTTTGACTTTGAGCTTAAGCCTGGTCAACCGGATTGGCATGAGAAGCAAACATGCTTCCTTGTTTGGGATAAAGTCCCTCTGAACATCACTCTGAAGCTGCAACAGGATGAAGCATCAATTTCTTAGGAGCGCGTGGGTATGGATAGTACACATGTCTTTTGTACGAACACATTGGGTAGAAGAACGCGTTTCCACTTATTTCTCAGTTCAATGTCTATTATGAATCTGCACCACGCTGAGCCAGTAGTGCCTTGTGAATAAGACTTAAAACAAACTTCCCCGCAATCTCGCATGATCTAGCAATATTAATGCAATTAACAAAGATAATTACAAGGTGACAAGTTGACTATGAAAGGTACCGAGCTCTTTGTCTTGGAAGTCCCGCAGCTTTTGGGAATCCTTCCCTTACTCGAATTGGCTACTGGCTAGTGTTTGCAACATGGCGGAGCTCTTGTAATCAACTTTCTTACAAACAAGTTAATCTCTACCTTGCTAATCAATCTCAAGTTCGCTTCCTAGGATACACCTCCGAATAAATCCTGTCCAAGTCTTCTTTAAACTCTCTCTCAACCACTTTCCTTTGTATACTACCCTTTGCAGTTCTTGGTAGTGCACCATTAGGCACGACGATTATAAGTCGCGAGTCGAGGATACGCTCGTGTTTATATCTGCGCTCATGGAATGGGGTAATGCGACGCAAAATCTCAGCCTGCAATTCATCATGGCCCTCGATTTGTTTGGCTTCGACAAAAAGCGCTGGTGAAGGTCTGGCAGCTCCAACGACCACCGCGGCGCTGATGAGATCCTTGCCACACGTCTCAAGTGCGTTGTTCTCAATGGATCGCGCATCACAGCGCAGCGAGATCTCCATCTTGATCCAATCGTCATTGCGGCCCTTGGAGATGTAGCGGTCTGGTTCGACTTGCAGAAAGACATCGCCTGTAATGAAGTCACCCGTCTTTTGGTCACAGAGCGAAGGGTGCGGACATTCAGGCGCATATTTGGGAACCACTAGTTCCACAAGCTTCCCACTTGATGCACCATTAGCGGCATTGCTGGGCGCACCGCTGACAGTGTCATCTGGCGCAACGGAGATGGGTCGCATCTCAAATGTTGATTCAGGCCACACCCGCAATAAATTCCCCTGTCGCCCCCCCACGCCAATCAACATACAGCCAATCTCTGTGCTGGCGAAGAGGTCGACTAGGTTGATACCCTGCTCCCGAGCCCAAGCTGCTTCAGTTTCCTCCAGTGGAAGTCCACCGCAAGTGCAGGCATCAAAGCTCTGGAGTATGGCCAGAAGCTCGGGGTCCTTGCGAGCTTCTTTGATGACGCCGGCCAAGAACGAGGAAAACATGTTAAACACTGTCACTTTACACTCCTTAACAATTCTCCGTAGCTCGGGAAGTGAATAGGGGAGTGACGTGGGCAGGGCCATGCAGGAGCCTTTATTGACGTATGAAATGAATGCGAGTGTGCTCGCGACGTGACAGAAGCTTCCACTATATAGTTATGTTAGTCGATGCTGACTTCGATAGTTTGCTCGCTTACCTAGCCACAATAGTCTCCTGGTATTCGGCTCCCGGACCCCGGAATGTAAAGTGCCGGGTTTTGCGAATGTTGCAATCCAGCCACCTAGCCGTTGCAGGAACCAGCTTCGGTTTCCCAGACGTAGATCCAGAAGAGTGCAGAATAAAAACAATCTCGTCACCCGACGTGGGGCTGTTGACTTCAGCCAGCGGGGACTGCTCGACAGCCAGACCGAGGAAATCAACAGCAGGAAAAGTAGAAACATCTTCACCCACAGAGACGGTAATCGCCGGATCATGGATAAGACCCTTTGCTTTAGCTTCGCTGAGGAGCTCTCTGACCACGGTGTTGCTTGTTAAGTGAGCCGAAATAAGCTGAGGAACGCATCCAGCTCTGGATATGCCCCATATATGCAGGAGATCCAGGTAAGTAATTCCCTTCAGCCTCAAAACAGGTCAGTGACAGTGTCTGGCGGTTCGAGACTTTTTTACTTACCATAATCCGATGACTGATCCAGTGTCAATTCCCTTTTCCGAAAGCTCAAGGGACCAATACTTGGCAGATTTCTCAACGTCATGCAAAAGCTGCGAGTAGGTGATATCCTTCCATCCTTGGAGCTCACCATCTGATGAAAGCTGTGGTATCTTGAGGGCCGGGAGCAATGGAGTGGCCTGAGCTGTTTTCTGCAGTACCGTGAGATGGGTCTTATAACCAGCCATTTTTAAAGTTTCCAACGGCAGATGGACATTCAGTAAAGATATAGTGTAGTTATGTTCAGTATAAGCGTTGCATGCAATTTGGTTGATAGTCGAAAGGCATCAGAAAAGGAGGGTTTTCTGGTATTGTGTTTGGGTGTTATTATACTGTTTCGCTGCCCGGGATTCACGGACCCGGCTGCCATAGCTAAGCCTCCTATATACGAGTAAATGAGGACTCCGTAACCTCCGTAACAAGTAAATGTCATGGACGGTTTCATGAAAAGCGTAATGTGGGTCACTTGTTTTGCTCTTGAATCGGAAATGGTTAAGATCTGCATTTTAAACCTTCCGGCTACCACGACGTTGTATTGGTAGGCAACTGCCGAATGGAGCTAACTTTCACGGCTTGGCTAGCGGTAGCGCGAGTACTGTGCCTTCGTTCATCTTTGTGGGATCCTCAACTCGATGAACTTGAGTGAGTTAGGACAGAATGTGTTGTTGATCTCTGATGAATAGTATCTGATGGATTAAGGGCAGATAGTAGTTCGTCAATCCTGTAGTTTACAATCCTACCTAAGAAGTTTTAATTTTTGTTATATTAATCCGCCAGAGTAGTCCTGGTTAGCTTCCGGGCTGTTTATAAATCAGGATATTACGGATAGCATCGAGCCACTCGTCTCGCTGCCGAGGTAACTATCGCTTGGCATGTGAAAGCCCTCAGCACGGATGTAAAAGGTGATGCATGAATAAAACAAACCCTTTATCAGGATGGGTACTTAGCTTCCTTACCTGCTGTAATTCGCTTATATCCCATTATTAACAAGTCATATACATCAAGTTATGTATACCGGATATGGTGGGGCTATGGTCTAGCTTACTCTGCTGCCTAGGCATGCTACCCTTGGGGACTAGATTAACCCTCAAGTGCGGCAGTTAACCTTACTTTAATTGGGTTTTAACCATACTCGCGTGTTCAGCAATTCCGAGCCGGTAACCTACCGTAACATAACCTTATCCCACCACTCTAAACTCTATAAGCTTACAAACCCATATGTCACGGAATTTCGGAAATACCGGTAGTAGGGTAAATGAGACAAGATTGACAGACCTGCATCTCCGGTTCCGCTAAGTAGGATATTCAAACAGTATGCAACCTATTCTAGATTGCCGTCACGAAGTTTTAGCCTCATTGTGAGGCAGGATAGCCGGAAATTACCAACTCGTATACCCGTCAATAGCGACATCGTCGGTAACCTGAGTGTGCAGTTAGGAGAAGGTCGCTTTGTCCCACGTCCGAATCCCTATTATGAATGAAGCAAAAAGGAAAGATCGCACCGTCTTCCTTCGGCCAAAAGTCAAACAGCATAATAATGAAGAAGGGCTCGGTGATTCATCGAGACTTCTCGCGAACCAGTCATTTCAACCAGTCCATCCAACAGGGGGCTGAGTTTTACTAGGATGAGATTGATACCCTTCCAAGCGCGGTTTTGGTACGGCCCTTCGGAATGCAGGTGAATACTATGGCCCTCGTTATGGCAAGATTACTCTATGGATGGGAGGATCAGTCCTGAGAATGCCGCTCAACATGTCGCTGTTGTGGGAGCTGACGTCCATGAGTATTAATGCAGCTGTGCTGCATGGCGTCGATGCAAGCCGTAAGTAATAGCTTCTTGTAGATTATAACAGTTACTTACGAAATGGTGTATATATTACGTCTTAATGTGTTGAGAGCGAGGCATAAGAAACAACACAGGACCAGTTGCTGATCTGTCGAGGAGCTAATGACAAGCCAAGCTACTATAATATTAATTCTTATTTCCAGTGATATTATTTATCACAAACTATAGCCTGTATCTAAATGATTTATTTTCCCGATCCGTCAGATCCTCTAAGCCGTGACTGAGGTTAGGAGAACCATAAGTCGTATCGCGGTGCCTGTTCTCCCGATCAAACAACCATCGAAGTGCAAGGGCAGCAAAGACGCAGACTGTAAAGCAGATCATAATTCCGGTAAATGATTCGTCATAACGAGGAGCAAATTTCCTATGATAATCAGCACATGCGGTCATATATGTGGAACAACGGTAGTCCACTTACGCGTCAAACATGAGAGGGCCGATGATGTTCCCAAGGCAGTAACCGATAAACGTTGAAGCAGCATACACAGCCTTCTTAGTATGCCCAGCAACATTGGAAGTCCCCAAGCCGATGCACTGAACCCATGCAGAGGAGAAGAAGTTCACAAGATAGAAGCCGATGATGCGTCCTGCTTTGTTGGAGTCTGGAAGTTGCCAGATCAAGGAACAACCGAGAATGACAGGGACACATGCCCCAGCGATGACATACAACCTAGAGTTTGGAACCTTTCTGCCAATGTAGCCTGAACCGAGAATACAAATGAAGGCGAGAGCTCCAATGGGTAGGTTGAGCAGCAGTGAAGTAAACACATCAAAGCCCATATCCTTAAAGACAATAGTTCCAAACGTTGTGACCGCGCCGGAACCCGTGCAGGACACGATAGATAGAATCATGATACCCCAAAGTCGATAGTCAAACAAGGCCTCCCGGAACTGGTAGGACTTGAAATGTTTGTCCTCGGTACCGGCATTGTTTTCTCGGACTCGCTCCAGGAGAAGACGGCGCTCGGCTTCCGTAAACCCCTTGGCATTCTGAGGGCTATCGGGAAACAGCCACCAGAGGGCAATGCCCCAGGCCAGAGTAGCGAGTCCAGCGATGATATACATCCACTGCCAAGAGTTGAGAGCACCTCCCTTGATATGGCCAAGTCCGTAATTGATTAGTGGTGAGATGAGAAGAGATCCTCCGCTGCAAGAATACCACCAACTAGATCGTGAGACCTGCTCCGAGTGGGTGTACCAGAGGCCTACGACGAGCATGAAGATAGGTGATACACCTGCCTCGACAAGACCAAGCATAAAGCGATTTATAAGGAGACCGGTATAGGACGTGCAGGCTGGTGTGCAAAGGATGACAAAAGACCATATGATGCAGATAGCCGTGCAGACGATTCGAATCGGGTAACGTTGGGCGAGGAAAGAGGCGGGATAAGTGCCGGCGATATATCCAAAGTAGAAGATAAGGGAGACCCAAGAGTATCTGATGCCAGTGGTGAGTTTCAGGTCCTCTCGCAAACCGAAGATGGCGGCCTGGCTGAGGATGGCCTTGTCGTAGTATTGCAGGGCGTAGGTGAAGCAGAGCTTTGAGAGTCAGTTTCAGTCCAAGTAAGTAGGGAGAGTCGACCTGCCACAGGCATCAGCTTCCAATCGATCTTTCGAAGCAACTTTCTGTTCGTCTCTTCATCAAGCTCGAAGCTGGTTCCAACAACCGAACTAGGAACAGTCTCAAGATTGGCAGCGGATACTTTGCTGTGAATACTAGCCTTGGAGCTTGCCTCATCCTGCTGGCGTGTCATTCTCGTGATCGAAGGTGGCATGGGTGGTGGATAATATGAGGAGTACGAATAGAGTATGAAAGCAGCAAGGATGATGAAAGAAGGACCTCGCCAGATTGTTTGTCTGAGCCAAGCTGAGCACAAGTGGACTGATGTCGTGGGTTTATATAATGAATGGTAGATGCTTCAATTGCACCAACCCCAGATCATCTACCCCGGATCTCGTCACATCAACTGAATATGCAGCTGACAGTGCATTACCCCACGCAGCCATAAACCCACAAGACGGGTCGAATCACACCAATCCAACGGTGGAATGCCGCAGCGCGTACGGTCCGAAGACTCCATAAATATCCGAGCCGGTCGGATATCGAACCAGCTAGTCTACTCTGGGAATATCCGAGACCGCGGCTTGCCATTGGCCTCGGCCCCAATTTCCCCAACTCAATCATCTCCGAGTTTAAGCTCAGAAGTGAAACTCGTAATCACTTGTATATTCCTCTCAGTGGCACGCGAAAAAGGGCCCTTCTGACTTATCGTATGAGGGTTTCTCCATCATTATTAAATATTTCAAGATTAACATTACACTTTCCAGAGCGCATTCACTCATTAAACATAGACTAAAATGGTGATCATATCGACCATTTCTTCAAGCTTGTCTCGGCCATCGTTGCTAGCTCTGTCAAGGCAATGCACCGCTATTCGTCAACCTCTTTCGTCAGCAAGATATGTTTCTTCCAATGTGCTGTCCAGTCGGCAGAGACATAATCCTCTAGGGTACTTCCTGCTAGGACTCGGAGTCGCAGTGAGCAGCTTGGCCCTCGCACCGTCCATAGGCATTGATTTACTCCGGATACCAGCAGAAGACACTACTCCTAGGTGGAGGGAAAGTGACAGATCACCCATTCCGGCTGCAATGTCATATGCGGATACGGCAACTATGTTAAAGGTACGCTGATATAGAGATTTCAAATGCTACTAAATACGGGTTGCTGACCACTTAGGCTGTCAATGAGATACGTCGAATACTTGGGAAAGACATCGTGAGCGTAGACTCGGATGACCTCGACGAACATGGCTACTCAGAGTGGTCCACGTCAAATACTGATGTACGACCAGTGGCAATTGTCCGACCACAGACGACTGAACAAGTCTCGAGTATCGCTCGTATCTGCACCAAGTACAAAGTCCCGATGATTCCATACGGGGCTGGATCCAGCGTTGAAGGCAATTTTAGCTCCCCTCATTCCGGAGTATGTCTCGACCTGTCTGGCATGGATAGAATCGTGGCGTTTCACCCTGAGGATATGGATATCGTGGTCCAGGCTGGTGTCAATTGGACGAATATGAATGAAGAGATCAAGGATACTGGACTCTTCTTGCCGCTTGATCCTAGCCCTACTGCATTGATCGGTGGCATGATAGCTACTAACTGCAGTGGTACCAATGCTATGAGATATGGAACTATGAAGGATTATGTCATTAACCTTACAGTAGTGCTCTCAGATGGATCGGTTATCAAAACTCGCCACCGACCTCGGAAAACTTCAGCTGGTTATAATCTCACAGCTCTCTTTACTGGATCTGAGGGGACATTAGGTATAATCACTGAAGCGACGCTGAAGCTAGCCATAATTCCGGAGAAGTTTTCTGTCGCAACAGCTACCTTCTCGACAGTCAAAGAGGCGGCGGATGCGGCATTTAAGATGATGCGACGTGGAGTGCCTCTCGCTGCCCTGGAAATGATGGATGATGTGCAGATGAAGGTCATTAACCAGAGCGGCGGAGCGGGTGGAAGAGTATGGGATGAATATCCTACCCTTTTCCTAAAGTAAGTAGCACCTGGCTGCTATTTATCACTGAAAGAGTACAAATGCTCACCAATATGCAGATTCTCAGGCTCTCAGAACGCAGTTCAAGACAGCATCAACTTGACTAAGGAGATCGCAAAGTTCAGCAGCTGTCGTTCTTTCGAATTTGCCAAAACGGAGGATGAGATGCAATCGCTTTGGTCTGCCAGAAAACAAGCTTTGTGGGCAAACCTTGCCGTCCGACCAGAGGGTACCCAGATTTGGTCCACAGATGTTGCCGTACCTCTGTCTCGAATGGCCGAGCTAATCGGTAAGAGCATGGTTCCTCTGACATTGGCATGGACTTACACAATAGTCACAGAAATCTCGAAGCAAAGGGCCAGCCAACTTGGACTCTTCAACAGTGTTATGGGACATGTTGGTGATGGCAACTTCCATCAGGTTGTTATGTACAACCCAGATGATAAGCAGGAACGTCAAGCTGTGTCTGATTGTGTGGATGGGATGATGGCGAGAGCACTGGAGATGGAGGGCACAGTATCAGGAGAGCATGGGATCGGATTGGGCAAGAAGGTAATTATTTTACTGCCTGACTGTCTTGGGTTCAGCTAACAAAGGAAAGCATTGCCTACAGAAAGAGCTCGGTCCTGCAACTATCGGCATTATGAAAGCTATCAAAGACACCCTTGATCCCCAGTGAGTACATGATGACATCCGCTTAACGTATCGTGAATATATGCTAAGGCTCTTGTCAGTTGGCTATTGAATCCGGGTAAGGTATTCGATCCATGAAGAAAGATGATTCTTGCGAGAGATTCCAAAGTCTGTGTTTACTTGACCGTGGACCTAAGTGTTGAGGGATGGAGTATAAAGGTTATAGTCGGGATAAATAGATATAAATATCCAAGAAATATGTATACACTTTACAAATAAAACTAAGCAAATTACTATAGCCATCTTTTCGCTCGTCCTGGGCTGAAATGCATACTGCGGGCAAGAAGCCCACCGTACTCTGGAGTGAAACACTGCCCTAATCAGGCTAGTCCGGGCAAGCTGCAGGGAACATCACAAAGGGAAGTGCGGGGTTTGAGTTGATCCAACCTGTTCTGGACAAGCCCTTCCCCGGATATCCAGAATAGCCGGATCCAAGAATTGTGTCGGCATTGGAGATGCTTCCAGCATCATTCACACGTACCCTCTTCCAGTAGCCAAACTCCGAAGCATACGGCCAACTTCTCCAAGCTGCAGTCTGGCAGGCGTTGTCGTGCGGGAAGCGGGTGTAACAATGCTCGGATAACTCCAACATGACGGATCACAACGGCAACGACGGCTGGCAGGGTCCGCAGCTTGACTTCGTCCCCATCAACCAAGCAGACTCACCCCCTGAATCTAAAAGACGCCGCGCGTACTTATCTTGCGAGCGTTGCCGTAGGCGCAAGACCCGCTGCGAGCCGACATCAGACCGGAGGCAGCCGTGTAAGCGATGCTCAGCAGACAATCAGCCTTGTGAGTTCAGAGCGTCGCGACGCACCAAGAGAAAGCTGTCGCTTCCAGCTGAGACCCCTGAGCCAGTGTCGCGTCACAATCATACGGAGACCGATATCGAATTTCCAACTTCAACACCACTTGTGCCTCGAGATGTTCCAGTTCGTCCTCCCAATAAGGAGGGACATGTGGATGACGGACTCGTCGCCGACTGCTCCCAGAGTCCAAGGACCCCAACCGCATTAGACGCAAGGGAACGACTTATTTCTACACATATACACAATGCATCAGATGCCCTAGACCTTCTGACATTCGCCGCGAGCGGTAATCACGCCTACAATAGCCCGTCTGCCACGCCTGGCCTCCAAAGCCAAGCTTCGTCTATTGCCCCTCCGACTGTTATCTCAGATCCATCCCTCAATCTGGATAGAGCATGGAAAAGCTTTTCCCTCATCAGAAAAGGGATTGTATCGAAGCAGGAAGTGATGGACTACCTAGGTTTCTTCTTCGATCAATTATGGCCGCTAAAGCCAGTCGTACCGTCTTACTACCGCGATATGAGCACTTATGGACAACTTGTTGCTGAGGAGCCTCTTTTGGTAGTCTGTCTCGTCACGCTCTCCTCGAGGTACTTTCCACTGCCTGGAGATCATGGCGAAATCAGGTCCGAGCGAATACACTGGCAAACGTGGAGGATCCTCCAGCGATCCCTGCAGTCCGTCATGTGGGGGTCTACCACGACGCGCTCTCTTGGAGCGATAGCGGCGATGCTGCTTCTGATAGATTGGCATGTAAAGGCTATTAACAACCCGACTGACTTTACAGAAGGAGAAGATGAAGCTCATGGCTATGCTGATGGTGATGGCTTCAAGCTTTCGCCCAATAATACAGACTCACTCACTGGACAGCGACGGTATGGGATGGTATCATTAATGGAAAAGCTGAATATTGTATCTCCAGCATATCGGAGCAATAAGATGTCATGGTAAGCATTTCGCATGCCTTGTTGATTCTATCTCAATCGAGTGCACTCATGACTATGGAATAGGAGTCTTCTTTCCAACGCTATTGCTTTAGCCCACGAGGGCTGCTGCTTCCAGCACGAATCCCCCGGCTCCAGAGTCGCTTCCTCCAACCTGGACTCTATTAAAAAAGAATGGAATGGTCTCCTCTGTGTGTTCATATACCTCGCAGACGAAGGCCTTGCGACTCGACTAGGTCTAGAGCCACTATTGCCAGAGAAGTCGAGACAAGTAGTCAAAGACCGCTTCGCAACGACATTCGCCGAGTCTCTACTGGACAGTCATCTCTGGGAAGGCTATTTCGAACTCTCTATAGAGACTCGAAAGGGAAGAGAATTTTTGCACTCATTGAAAGCCCGCGGCGGATCATTTTCCGACCTAGACCTCGTCCCTCATTTGGAACGCCTGCGAAGAGCCCTGCAGCGTTGGAGACGGCAGTACTACCATCAAGATGGTACGTTCAAGAAACGAGAAAACATACCTCAGCTTACAATTCTCAGATTTCAATTCGTTATTAAATGCATGTCTTCTGATGGAGTTTTACTATATAAGCTTATTTTGCTTTGCTCCAGCAGCACAGGCCATACAAGTTGGATCCAGAGCCCTGCCGCAAGAAAGGCTTCAAGCCTTGTCTGAGTTTGAGGATCAGGCAACACAGGCCGGCCACGCACTTTTATCTATAGTTGTGGATTTCCTGAAGCCTTCGGGGCTGATCAAATATCTACCAGTTCGATGCTGGCTCTTCATCGTTGCTGCGAGTCTTCATCTGCTCAAGGTACATTGCACATTCCAAGCAGAATCATATCCCCATAGGCGTCTGACAGGCATTATACACTAGGCAACCCTTGCACAAACCAAGAACATAAATCGGGCACATCCAAATATCTATCTTCTACGTCGCGTTATCAATGCAGTCCACGGTGGCTCCCCTGATGATTCGCATATGGCAATCCGATATGCCAAGTTCCTGGGCATTATGCTACAGATAGCTCTACCAGCCGCGTCGGGCAGCCCCGATATAGCATCAGGAGAAGAAACACGGGAAGACAGTGATGGTGCTGAACTTCAGCTGAAAGACGGCTTCGAGGACGCTGCCTATGCTTGCACATTTAACAATATGGCAGTTGAGGGAGTTAGTGACTGGAATGCTTTTCTTGACTTAGACTTGGCTCCAGATCTTTTCATGTGGTGGGAGTCTATGTATAGTTGACATGCGTTATATCGTTTTCAGTTCTTATTCTATGGCTTTGTAGTACTAAAATTACCAGTGCCTATAATATCACCATCCTCCTCCTTACCACTCTGCGCCCGGTCAATGCGGAACTGGCTTGTCTGGAACAAGCGAGGGAGTTTCGTCTCCTCAAATTGAGTCCCTTGGGATACCATCCGAGCCAGCTCTTTGGCTGCCAACCAGATGACAGGCATGCCGTGTCCATTAAACCCAGCAACGATGAATTGCCCATCCTTGCTGGGAACTTTACCAATGTGTGGATTTGAGTCATATGAGTAACCCATGACGCCGGTCCAGATATTGCTCACTTTGGCACCAGTCTCTTCCCAGCCGCGGTAGGTTCGCTGCATGTAGTCCTCGTAGTAGTCCTTTGCAGAGTCGATAAGGACACTGTCGTCCACATTGTCATACCACTGTTCCTTGAAAGGCCGGAAAACAGATGCAGCACCACCTACGATGATGCTACCATCGTGTCGAGGGATAAAGTACGAGAGTGTGTTATCCTTGGTGCGCGTGATGTATGAGTTGTTTAATAGCGGCGCCGTGGTTCCCTCTGGGACGGTGATACGACAGCAAATGCCCTTACAGGGGATGATGTTTTTGCTGTATTCCGGGAGAAGCGCTGAGACATAGGCATTGTTAGCGTGGATGACCTTGCCTGCTCGTATCTTGCCACGAGGCGTTTCGACGATGAACGAGCCGTCACCCGAGGGGTCTGGCGTCACGGAGGTGACAGGTGTATGTGCCTGGACGTTGACGCCTGCGGTGAGGAGTTGTCTTGTGAGGTGCATCAAGAATTTGAAGGGCCACATGGTCCCGGCCGTGAAGCTTGCGCATGCAACAGCGCCTTTGACACCGCAGATCTGTTATATAGATGGCTTAGTCAGTAGATATCTTCATCAACGTATGTGGTCCCCACACAAAACAATCTGGGCTGGTATTCGGGCCACTTACGCCTTCGACTTTGTCGCCTGTATAAAACACAACATCATCCATATACTCAAAGTTGTGAGACACCATTGATTGGTAGACGGCCTCTGCTTTCTTGGCTGAGTCCTCGTTGCACCAGACATCAATGGATCGGGTAAGAGTGAAGTCGCAATCAATCTTCTCTTCATCAATGATCTTCTTGATGGCGCGCAGGTTGGCAATCTCAAACTCGGCAATCTCAGCGCCAGCGCGCTCGCCGGCTCGATCTATGTAGGTTGGAATATGGCCGTAGAGGTCTGGCCTACAGTGTCCGCCGTTGCGGCCAGTGGCGCCAGAGCAGATACCCCTGGCCTCGAGGATGCAGATAGACGTGGCGCCGGCATCGCGGACGAGGTGGTGCGCTGTACTGAGTCCTGCGAATCCAGCGCCGATGATGACGATGTCGCTGTAGTCAAGTAGCTGCTCTGAAGAGCGGTGGTCGCGGAGCTCAGTCACATCCTGTGGCTGCTGTTGTTGCCAGAAGCATGGCGCTGGGTCCGGCACGGGCATGCACTTGGGCGTACCGGCGGTGCGAGATGTGTTACCATTTGGGATGGCCATGATTGCGCTGTGATGTGATGAAAGTTTGCTTACAGAATCAAGATCAGTATCTCAGGTATGTTATGTATGGAGGTTATCTGGAGGCATACACTGTTTCAGTTTAGCTGAACTTTATTTAGAGGATTGTGCTATCGAATTCGCTCGGATTTGTCGGCTTTCGTTGGGGAATGGTTGTATACGGCTAGATAGACCGGACTCGGGGTCCACCGGGCCGGCATTACCCAATTTGGGTAAATAGTTCCGGCCCCGGTTGACAATGCCGCTAACGCTATATCGCTCACCACGGTGGGAGTACCATACCATACAGGACTGCAGGGCCCTACACTTTCAAGGAGTCAAAGACAGCCAATCTGACCTCAACGCGCTCTTCATATCTCCATAGCCGGTCGACCCCGGGTCTGATCTGCAGCTATCACCCTAGCCAGAACTTCCCCAGACCTACCTAGGATCCTAGGCATACCTTACTGATAAGCCGTGGCCAATTGTGGCAGACATAAAAACGTTTCGTAATACGGGGAAACAAATGGTCAAGATCCTCCATTCATCTCCTTTCCCAGAAGAAACAGAAACAGAACAACAGAAGAAACCATCTTGGCTTGACTCAGTTTTCTTTTTCTGCTTTGCTTGCTTGCTTGTGCAGCAGTCTCTAATACAACTCCTTTTCCTGTCTTGGCAGGAGCCAAATGTCAACTCACGACGCTTCGTCCCAACTTCTCAAAGTCGACGCTATGCCTTCGGAGAAGGAACTCTGTGGTCCTGCAACTGACACGCGGCGGGACAGCGATGTCGAGAATATAGCTGGAACGGTCGTGGAGTCTCACGAGCTCAGGCAGGGTCTACATCAACGTCACATTCAGATGATTGCCCTGGCAGGCACAATCGGCACTGGTCTGTTCCTGAGCTCTGGGCGAGCCATTGCCTATGCTGGTCCGCTCGGTGCGTTCCTGGCGTACCTGATCATTGGCTTGGCTGTTTCGAGTGTCGTCTGCGGCGTTGGCGAGATGGGTGCTCTGGCGCCCCTCAGTGGTGGTGTCATTCGCTACGCCGAGCTCTTCTGCGACCCTGCTCTTGCATTTGCCAACGGATGGAATCAAGTTTACTCATACATGGTCTCCATCCCCGCCGAGATTGTCGCGGCGGCCGTCATCATCGAGTACTGGGTCACCATCAACAGCGCCATCTGGATCACCGTGCTCGGCATCCCCATGATTGTCAGTTCACTACTGGCCGTGCGCATCTACGGCGAGCTCGAGTTTGGCTTCTCCATAATCAAGATCATGCTCATTGTTGGCGTCAACATCATGGCTCTGGTCATTACCTGTGGTGGCGGTCCAAAAGGTGAGGCCATCGGCTTCGAGTACTGGAAAAGCCCCTACGGGCCCATGGTTCAGTACCTCGGCATCGCTGGGTCGCTTGGCCGGTTCTTGGGCTTCTGGAAGACGCTGAACAATGCGCTTTACGCCTACTCGGGCATAGAGAACATCACGCTGGCGGCTGCTGAGACGAGGAACCCCCGTCAGTCTATCCCCATGGCTGCCCGACGTATCTTGATCCGCATCGCCCTCTTCTACGTCGTGACCATCTTCATGATTGGCTTGGTCGTCCCGTCTACGGACAAGAAGCTAGTACCATGGACGGGAGACGCTTCCATGTCGCCGTTTGTCATTGCTGCCCAAAACGCAGGCATCAAGGTTGTGCCGTCCATCGTCAACGCCGTCGTGCTCACTTCGGCCTGGTCAGCGGGTAACTCCAACATGCTTGGCGGTTCCAGAATCCTATACGGAATGGCATCTCAAGGCCAAGCCCCGTCCATTTTCCTGCGTATTAACAGATTCGGTATCCCCTATGTCGCTGTTTCCCTCTATGGCCTCTTCATGGCCCTGGGATACATGACCCTGTCCGACTCGGCTAGCACAGTCTTCACCTGGCTGCAGGATCTCGTCTCCATCTCTACCCTGGTCAACTGGATCACCATCTGCATTGTCTATCTGCGATTCGTCCACGCTTGCAATAGGCAAGGAATAAATCGCCAGAAGGAACTCCCTTGGGCCGCTCCTTTCCAGCCCTATACGACCTATGCCTCTCTTGTCCTGTTTGTTCTGCTTTTCTTCACTGGCGGCTTCACGACCTTTATCCATGGGCAATGGGAGATCGAGTCGTTCATTTCAAATTACTTCAATTTGCCTTTCACTCTTATCATGTATTTCGGCTACAAGCTCTGGTTCAAGACCAAGGTCATTCCATTGGAAGACGTTGAACTTCGTCATTTAATCGATCGTTATGAGAATGAGCCAAGGGTGGAGCCAAAGCCTCGGCGCGGACTGGCAAGACTGAACTTTCTGTGGTCGTGAACGTTGGGGGGGTAGCGGAAGTAGCTTTGTGGGATTTTTTGCTGTATTGGCTTTACACACGTGGAGCTCTTATATGCTCGAAAGAGGTGATCGCTTTGACGTAGTGTAGTTATTGTTTATTTATTATTACGTGTCTATGACCTACCCTGTACCTCATAAGCTGCAATCTAAGATTCCCCTATGTGAGACTTTGAGTGTCAGTGTAATGTGCATAAGATTTGCAAATTCCGTTCTCTTGGCAATATTGGGGATACGGTTAGGTATGGCATAACAGAGAAACAATTGCTCCAGACTCGCATCGATGCACGCAACAATGGCGCAGAGTGGTCAGTCGGCCATCTAAGATAAGTCTGCACTTTGCGGGGAAAGTGGGACATGTGGGAAATGCCGAGAGTGTTGCAGATTCTAATGTACCAGCGAGCCGGCCTGCTGGCTAGCTTAGGTTTTCAGCAAGTCACTACAGGCCTCTAGTGTCTGACCCAACTATGCCTCATTAGGGTCAGATCTTCAGAGAGGTATTATGGAACTTCTTTTATCCATCTCAGTTGATTCGCTCAAAGTTTATTAGTCTAAAGGTTAGACATGCAATAAGATACGCGTACTCCGTAGATAACTTCTGGGGAAAGGATAACCAGACCGGAACAGCGGCATCCGCGTGCTCTTATCGGTTGAGTATCTCATGTCAAGATACCGCTAAACTATTTAAGTGCCGCTAGCATATCTCCGATCCGGAGCCACGAGAGTCAAGAACCAAAAGTGGAATCCCCGATAATGATGGCTGATAGCCAGAGAATGGAGTAGCCAATCATGTCTGACCGGACCGGTCCTACTCCATCAGGCTAGATCAAGATGAAATGGCGATAACCGGTGCAGTGGAGTACAGAGTACCAGTGTCACAGTCATCATTGGATAAAAGAGACCATTTCACGTTGTTGTTGATGCTGTAACTCGTCTCTTCTTGAGATAATTGTCTACAACGTAACCTCAGGTCATTGCGCCTTTTCTATCCGCATCTTATCTTGTTTCGCCAAACTTTCTTTCCCCTCTTGCCCCGCTCTCTTCTATCCTCTAGGATTGCAACCAAGGTTGGCATCAAGCCCCCATCATGGCCAATCAAAAGCATGTGGTCTTCGACGTCGTCGGCACCTGCGTGTCATTCAATGCCTTCTACAACGGCATTGACCGTGTCATTGGCGAGAAGCTAGCCGCCAAGCACATCACAGCCAATGCATTCGGCTACACTTGGATGACGGCAGCCGAGCTGGAGTTCACCTTTCTCTCCGTCTCTGAGCGCCATCGTCCCTACAAGGAAGTCTTGCGCACCTTGTTCTACCGCACGCTGTTCATGGTTGGCGTTGCGGCACCACGGGAACTCGTCACAGACGCAGAAAGGGATGCTTGTGTCCAGGCATATTCGGACCTCGAGTTGCGACCGGGAGCAAAAGAGTGTTTTGCAATATTAAGAGACGCCGGCTTCACAGTGTGGTGTTTGACAACAGGCGACACCAAGCGTGTGGGCGGATACTTTGAGCGCGCTGGCGTTGACATGCCGCTGGAGAACCTCATCAGCTGCGATGGACAGGGCGTGGCCAAGCCAGCGTTGGCTGCATACAAGCCAACCCTAGCTCGATTCGCACCGGATGATATCAAGTGGTTTGCTGCTGCTCACATGTGGGACGTGTCTGCTGCAGTCAAGGTTGGCTTCCGGGGCGCTTATTGCACCATATATGAACAGGATCCCTGCGCTGAGATCTTCGACGCCCAGATGGAGGTTATGGCTGATACACTACCAGAGATGGCAAAGGGGATTGTACAAGCATCGCTTTAGTTCTTGTCTGTTTTACATAAGCTCCATCAACCTTATTTTAATATAAATCGCTTGCAGTGCCTAGTTTCCTCCATGAGGTCCTGTAATGAATCGTCCAAGTATTTCGGTCTCGGACTGGGTAAGCCATCCATCAGACGGAGAGAGATTTTCAGTACCAAAGACGGGTAGTTGAAGTAGAGGATCAGCCGTGGGGTCATAAGCACTGAAAAAGTCCATGCTGGACAGGGCCTGGAAGTCTACAGGCCAGCCAGACACGGAGTCTATTTCCGCTTGACCACCTGAGGCATTCGGAACCGCTGGTGTAGTGGCGTCGAGCGCATTCTTGCCTGCCAAGTTGGCTCCCCAGCTGCGGAATGCTTCGTATGCCGAATCGGAATATGCTTGGTTATGGCTGCCCACGTCGTTCGGTCGTGCTCCAGCGTGCAGACGAGCGAGAGCACGCTCTAGCGACTCGATCAAGGAAATTTCAGACCGTGCCGACTCCCCAGCAGCAGACATTTCCCGTATCATATCCAATCCCTCACATAACGACTTGCGGAATTGGTCAGAGAGGTTGCGGATCGAGTAGGCAATCAGCACCAGCAACGATGCTCGACACGCACTGTATTCGGAATACGAGGCCCGAGCGAGACCCATCCCGCTCGATCGTAGCTGCTGACAAATATCAAGGGCTTCTGTTGCCGCTTTGATGCAGTCGCTTATCAGCTCTTCTCGGCTACTCACGAGTTTCGAGGCACTTCTTTCGTTGGTCCCAGGGCTGTTTTCGGGGACGGACGGGCTTGTCGCAGAGTCTTTTGTTTCTTTCTTCAGTAGAAACGGTCTCCCGACAAACATGCGCACTAGGCAGTAATCGAGTCTTAGGTGCATTGCCGAACGTGACTGTGTCATTGTTGGTTGCTCATTTGCGTCGATTGTATCCGGAGGGAGAGATTGCCACCATGTGGTCAAGCCGTCCTTTTTGGACACAAGCCGCGATACGATTGTGACTATCTCTCGCTTTCGACAATTGCGCAAGATGTTGCTGTATGGGTGTTACTTATAGCGAACTGTATTTTGTCTCATGCGTCGAGCTTGGGTCTCAACTTACATTTCGTGATACATGTCTTCGAGAAAGTACATCAGCTGTACAGAAACTCCAGTGTAAGAAGCTCGTTTGCGCCAATCATCTGATTGTAAACCGTCCTGATGTATGGGTAGACTGGCATCGATATTTGACCGAGACACCGAGATAGGCCGGCCATGAAAAATAGATATCTTTCTTCTCTCCAGTCAGCGGAGCCCATGTTCCATTTGCAGTCCGGGGAAGCCATAGCTTACCTTTCCAACACGTAGGTCGTCCACCAAACGCGATTTCGAGTTTCGATAACGCTTGTGTTAAAGGCGCTGTTGCTGCATTTTCGATGCATGCCATTCTGTATCCCCAGCCTAGTAGCCAGGTTAACGTAGATGAACCCCAGGCCAGAAGCGTCAATCGGCAGGGAATAGTATCCAAACAACAGGCATGCCTGCACACTTTCGAGGGACGAGATCTCAATGATTTCGGGGAGCAGCCGAATTGCTTGTTGATAAAACATGGCGCCTATCTCTTCCTCCAAGAGGCCTGACGTCGAGGTGTTTTCAGAACCGTTGGCGTGTTCAAGATGAGCGTATTGCGTTCCAATGGCAAGGACTGTCAGGAGGATGCTGACCGTCACTTCACTACCAGCTTGGGACAGACCTTGAGGGCTCTTATAGAGCAGATCTAATTTCTCAAAGACCCAGCTCTCTTCAATAAAGAAGAGATAGCTCTCTGCGAACTTGAAAAAGACTGTCACCAGGAAGTTTGATATGTTTGCAGGGGGGAACGATGATATGGCTTCCGACAAGTGATTATGCCCAGGACGTAGATGATGCGCACGTGGAAAAGCATCCGGGTCATCATTTTGACTATTGCCCTCCTACACATTATTAGTTAATGAGGTATGAATGAGAAGCATTGCCTGTTGGTAGTATAACATACTCGGCGGCTCTCCGGCTCTTGTATCTGGCTCTCGATTAGGTTTTTGACACGCATGGAGAAGTTCCAATACGAGAATTCCCCTGAGAAATCTGTGATGGTTTAGTACCCGTGCTCAGTGCAAGTGAAGTATGAGGTCGACGAACGCGCTGTCGTATCTCCAACTGGTTGCATTGTACACGCCTCATCATCGATCTCCAACGCTTCCAAATTGTCCCCCAGCCCTTCCAAGTCCCTCGGACCATCTGAGGCCGGATTTAGACTCTGATGCTCGGCGTCGAGTCTGTCTGCTATATTGGAGAGGTTCTCGGTGTCAAGCGGGACTCCTGGCATGGTGCGCCGTAATATCCGTTCCATGTGTTTTGAACGTTCAATCAGCTGGCTCGTATCTGGTCTCCGACGGCTTTCTCTTCGAGGTGTCAGACATGGTCTCGACAGTCGTTGAAGCTACTCACCTCGGTACGTAGGCACGAAACTCACGAGGTTTCGGGGTCGGATCTGTGTATCTACATGGCCGTTGGAGATGGGAACACCTGCGGCACGGGAAGCCGCTTTCACATTTCTCTTTCAATCGACGACATTCATCGCACCTATCGCATCCGACATTAGACGAATTCGGTATATCCCTCCCTGGCTTGTCTAGGAATCTTACGCTCGGGAGACGCGTCTTCGATGCTCCATAACCACTAGGTCTGTAACTGACGGTTACGTATTGAATCAAATAGGGAGCTCACTATGAGATAAGGGGTTTTCGACGAGTATGAATGCATGTTCCCCAATGTTGGCCGGGGGCTAATCACCTACGTGACTTTCCTGCACCCCGCTTTTCCAGCAGCTATCCCAGAATAGTTAGTCAGTGCGCAGTGTCTTATCTTGAGTAAGATAGGCTTGAAGAAGAGAGTAAGTTAATTGATAGTTAAAGCTTATGACGTCTCAACGATATATATCAGGCCGACACAATTCAATCTCCAATCAGCCAAGCCAAGACGATGGCAGCTAACGATCCCCAACTCCATCCTTGTGAGATCGCCCTTGGAGTCGTTTCATGGCTTGGAAGAAACAAGATGCTCCTTCTATCTCGTGAAAGGGGAAAGAGTAAGTAGTTTTAAAAATAAATGTATCTATAATGCAAAAGATTAAAATAAATACTTATTTACCTGGTTCCACTTGCCCATGTGCCATGCTTGCCATGGTGGGTCTTGAGCTCTTAATGCTACCTACCCCTCGCAACCTGTGTCTTGGTGGCGGGTTTGCTTTGTGGGGTCAGCTCAGCAGACCATTTCTAAATACCCTGGATCTGCCAAAATACAGGTTCTCGTATGTGGGATAAAGAGGAGAGGCTTCACTTGCTTGCTTTCCTACAAGTATTGTCTGTTGTATCGTAGGACCAGCTGCCACAACATCTTCTTCCGGTTTATATTTCGGATTTACGTTATATGAAAATTTTCACTTTTGCTTGTTATCAACGAAATCATGCTTTCCCCTAGCCCAAAACCTCATCCCGTTATAATCGTTGGGGCAGGTCCGGTTGGTCTAATTACGGCGGTAAACTTGGCAAAACTCAATGTGCCAGTACTGGTTCTAGAGAGAAACCATCAAGTCGACCAGTCTCCCCGCGCGGCTGTTTACCAGCCTTGTGCACAAGCGGAGCTGCTCGAGTCTGGCACACTCGATGATGTCCGGAAGGAGTCTGTTCTCAATGATGTCATGACTTTCTGGAAGAACAAGGAAAGGGTCGCTTCTATCGCGAAGACTCAAGATGCTGATGTATTCCCTGCCGGACTCAATTGCCCGCAACCCAAGCTAGCCAAAATCTTGGTCGACCATCTCCTTAATAAATACAATGCTGAGATCAAGTTCTGCCAGAAGGTCATTCAGATCGACTCCGACGCTGGACAAGACACAGTCGAAGTCGTGGCTTTAGACACTAATACAAACCTCGAGATCAGATACACGTGCAACTGGCTGGTAGGGGCCGACGGCGCTGGGTCAGCCGTCCGCAGACTCTCCGACATCACATTTGACGGCTTCTCTTGGCCCAAGGAAGATTTCGTCGCAACCAACGTACGCTTTGATTTCATGAAGCATGGGTTTTCGACCGCCAACTTTATCATGGACCCTGTACACTGGTCCGTCGTATGCATTCTAGACGACGCTGGCCTTTGGCGTTGTGCCTTTGGTGTTAAGGCGGGAATGACAAACGATGAGATTCGGGCCGAGATCGATGAGCACTACAAGCACATTTTCCCAGTCTGGCCTGTCGAATACGAGCTCGTGGAGCTAAACAAGTACAAGCCTCATCAGAGATGTGCCTCGACATTTAGGAAAGGGAGAGTTTTGCTGGCGGGAGATGCAGCTCATGTGCGTACTGATTCTCAGAGACCCTTGTAACCATGTTCCGCGAGATCATCTGAAGTACTGACCATTAACCTGTAGAGCAACAACCCTATTGGAGGACTGGGCTTGACTACAGGCCTCTTGGACGCGGGACCCCTCGGTCGCGCTCTTGGTGCCGTGATAAACGGTCGAGCACCAGAAGGCCTCCTTGACTACTGGGCAAATGCGCGTCGCGACAAGTGGCTCACTTTCACGAATGCCTTCTCCATTGAGAATAAGAGAATGATCCAGATGGCCGGATACAGTGAAGACCCTCTTGGTATATGGGCCGATGACGAAGTCGCCAAAGAACATAACATGGAGAAGTGGGTAAGGACGGCAACTCCGGGAAAGAAACAGGAGGACGCTCAGTTCTATGAGTCGCTCGCAGACCTTCATAACCAGGATATGTTCCATGTGAGGCAATGGAGCATTACTCTTGATCCTCGGTGGATGGAGGAATACGAGGATCCAGAGGTCGTAAAGTACAGAATTTCACTTCGGCCAGATAGACTTTAAGTGTACGTATACTGGTCCCATCTGGACACAAATCGGGGCCTGTGCGACTCGGAGTCACCGGAAATAGGTTACGAGCTTCTAAATACTGGCAAAGTAAAAGTAGCTCTCATATAACAAGGATCCGTCTTTCCTTCTCTAAGTAATGTGGAGTGAGACGAACAACAACTAATACAGTGATTCTTATGATCACTTGAAGGACGAGATTGCCTTTTAATATACAAAGATGCGTGCTACAGTGAGGTTAGAAAAGGAATCAGAACGAGGTCGCCTGCATGGCGACATGTTTGGTCCTATGAAAACTTATAATGGCTTTGCAGAGTATGGGTTAATGGGATGCAAGCTTACCACAACACTTGATTCCCATTGATATGTGTCTCCCAATACTTGGAACTTTCTCCTGGGACACATATTTCTGGTTTCCGACCCAGACTCCTCTCCAATTGGGGGCGCCTTATCAGCTTGGGTTCTCACTGTTGATGGCATAGAATTTGTCTCATTACCCGGCACATATACTCCTCTGGACGATAAAAATGAGACAAATGGGCTCTGAGAAGTTCGAGACGCTTGCTCCCCCCATTCAAATCGCCATGCCCCCAATCACACTATATTGACATATCGGAGCTAGAGGGAAAAGATAATCTGTGCAACACTTAGTGTTAGACTTAAAGGAGGTAAAAATCAACGTTAACTTAGTAAAGTCAAATTCTAAAGAGAATAGAGTTCGCCGTTCCATTGCTAATGAAGAAGGTGGTGTCAGCTCGTAACGATCACACAATCTGGGGAAATACACCCACGAATGAAAAGAATCACCGACGTGCCTTATTGCCGAAAAGCTTCGGGGGAAGCTATATTGGCTAGTGCAGTTGAGCACACGCAGCGTGCAGCAGTTTTACTTATTCAAAAATCGTTTGAGAAACAGTTGGAATGCGTTCAACGTGCCGGGCATCCGAGATGGTCCAGATTCCAGACTCGATGGTGAAACATGACAGCCTGACAGGTGCTCTGGAAAAATGCAGTCCACCAATTGACTAAGCTTCTTGTGGCGTCGAGGTTGGCGTTTCAATCTTAACCCCGGTAGATTGGGGGCTATGTGGAGCATCAATCTAATTCCCGAACCTCCCAAAACCAAACTCGCGATCCCTAATCAAGATGCAGGGCCGATGATGTTGTAAACACGGGCCACTATCACGGCTGAACGGCACCTATGCGCGGATATCTCATGATTCGAGCTTCAAATGCGCGCTTCAGATATAGGGAGTGCACTTAGTATATAAGAGAGCCGCATGCTCTTGGCATTGTCTAACTTGTTCTTGGCATCAGCATTCCATTCAACAGTATACTTCAATTCGTATATACACTTTCTCTAAACTTCCATTCTTTTAACAATCCATTCATTAACATGTTCTCTTCAACTGTCCTTCTCAGCGGCCTGGTCGCCTCCGTACTTGCAGCCCCAACTCTTGAGCCTCGTGCCAGCAGCTGTACTTTCACCGATGCTGCTACTGCCATTAAGAACAAGGCTGGCTGCTCTACTATCACCCTCAACAACATTGCCGTTCCTGCTAAGACCACTCTCGACTTGACCAAGCTCAATGATGGCACTCACGTGAGCTAACTCATATCTCTATCCATGCAAATCTAACAAACGTGCAGGTCATCTTCCAGGGCAAGACCACTTTTGGCTATGCTGAATGGGAGGGCCCTCTCATCTCCTTCACCGGTAACAACCTGCTTATCGAGGGAGCTGCTGGACACTCCATCGACTGCGAGGGTAAGAGATGGTGGGATGGCAAGGGCAGCAACGGCGGCAAGAAGAAGCCCAAGTTCTTCAGCGCCCACTCTCTCAAGAACTCCAACATCAAGAACTTGAACGTTCTCAACACCCCTGTCCAGGCCTTCAGCATCAACAGCGTCACCAACTTGGGCGTCTATGGCGTTCACATGGACAACTCTCTCGGCGACTCTCTCGGCGGACACAACACCGATGCTTTCGACGTTGGCTCCTCTACCGGCGTGTATATCTCTGGAGCCGTCGTCAAGAACCAGGACGATTGTCTCGCCATCAACTCTGGCACCAACATCACCTTCACCGGCGGCAACTGCAGTGGCGGCCACGGTCTCTCCATTGGATCCGTTGGTGGACGCTCTGACAACACCGTCAAGACTGTCCGCATCCTCAACTCTTCCATCTCCAACTCCGACAACGGTGTCCGCATCAAGACCGTTTCTGGCGCTACCGGTTCCGTTTCCGATGTCAAGTACGACACCATCACTCTCTCCAACATCGCCAAGTACGGTATCGTCATTGAGCAGGATTACGAGAACGGTTCTCCTACTGGAACTCCCACTGCTGGTGTCCCCATCACCGACGTCACCATCAACAAGGTCACCGGAACTGTCAAGTCCAGCGGAACTGATGTCTACATCCTTTGCGCCAACTGCAAGAACTGGACCTGGACCAACAACAAGGTCACTGGTGGAAAGACCTCTACCAAGTGCAAGGGAATTCCCTCTGGTGCTTCTTGCTAAGTGTTGAGTCTGGGTGAGGAGAAGTACATGGAGGTTGTGTAGAACATGACATATAGCTGGTACTATCTTCTGTTGTTTGTTTTCTTTGTACATATATGCTATCAGTTAATACTATTCTCCCTGATACGCAGACAAGCTTTCTCTGTCTATGGCATGTGAGGTGAAATGTACAGTCTGCAGACTTGATAAAACCAGTTGCTTGTATGATCTGTCCTTTCATTTGCAATCTGGTTCTTGAGTGCAGTAGAATTAATAAAAACAGCAACCCTCGTGACTGTGATATACTCAGCTACCTCTGGCTGGAGCGGTCTCACCGAGAAACTAGCACCGAAAGCTTTTGAGACCTGTGTTGATTTGGCAAGGATCTCTGGTTCCTCAGTAGACATGAAATTCAATGTCCCACCATAGCCTGATGAGCAGGACCGTATCTGTTGCCCTTCGGCTTTTCTGAGTCTATGATCCGTCTCAGCTCCCCCTTCTCTTGGTTGTCAAGCTCAATATCTCGTGATGCCCAGTTCTCTTCCAGTCGCTCAGGTTTTGTTGTCCCCGGAATGGCAATGAAGCCCTGAGCTGCAACCCATGCAAGTGCAATCTGTGTCACTTTGACTTTTTTCCGGGCTGCAAGCTTCTTGATCTCCTCGACGATCTTCTTATTGTGATAGAAGTTCTCGCCCTGGAACTTGGGTGCTGTGAAATGTCAGTCATGCCTGCCGCCGGATCAGTTTGGCTGAAGGAATACATACAACCACGCCGGAAGTCATTCTCTGCGAAGTCATCCGGGCTCTGGTATGGGAAGTCGTCTACCAACCACCCATGGCCAAGGGGACTATAAGCTACGTAGGCAATGTCTAGTTCTCTTGCAGCATCAATGAGGCCGTCGGTTTCATGCAACGTTTCAAATGCTGAATACTCAGCTTGCAACGCATCAATCTTCGCAACTTCGGTTTATGTAAGTTAGGTAGGCAAGCTGAAGAGGGCGAATACTTACTAGAATTGGCTTTTCGAAGTGTTGCGGCAGAACACTCTGAGATTCCGATATACTTGGTCTTACCCTGCTTACGAAGTTCGTCAAGGGTACTAATCGATTCCTCCAGAGGGGTCTCTATAGTAGTGCTTAGTCGGACCAGATGTTGAGAGTGGAATTGACTTACTTGGATCAATACGGTGGAGGTAGTAGAGGTCAGGAGTGAACCCGAGTCTCTCAATCGTGCCCTCGATGTATGACTTGATGTGAGACGCAGAGTTGGTGAGAGAGCCGTCGCCAAAGCAATCAATACCACATTTAGAGGCAACTGACACGTAGGGTGAGACATACTATGCGATAATGAACAAACTGAGAACCTACTGAATATCTTGTCACGAACTCGATGCTTCCTGATGAAGTCTCCCAAGAGCTGTTCGTTTACGCCAGCTTTGTAGACAACCTGAAGGACTTTTGTCAGAATAACCTATTTTACAAGTCAACCTGCCTAGAAGATACACTCACGGCAGTGTCCCAGAAAGTGCAGCCGAGTTCAAGGGCTTTCAAAAGCACTGGCTCCGCTTGCTCAAGTGTTAAATTATTACCCAAGCCATGGCTAATGCCCATGGCACCAAAGCCAGGTGAAGGTACTGTGATCTCGGCGAAAGGGAGATGTTTAACCATCTTAATAGCCTGGACTTGGTTGACAGAGCTGAAGACTGAGGCAAAGGAATGTTGATTAAGATTTAGCAGTTTATATGACACTTCTTTCATTCTGAGAGCTGCACTGGCTATGACGTGCCATGACATGTTATGCTGAGAATGCACCATCCACGGAGGCTTAACTCCGATGTTTAAATCCGATCATCTGAACCTCATTAATAAGATCATGACCCGTCAGCCGTCATCACGTTGCATTAAGTCCGCCAAACGTACGTGCTTAAAAAAGCAGCCGATACTTTCGTTGTGTGGATGCTGATCAAACATGATCCTCTCGACTGATCATCGTCTTGCCGAGAGCCTCTGGTCTTATCTTGGCTCAATCAAGATACCCAAGCCTCATTGAACTAGCCATGGCAAGAGGAACTCATCGTTACCAGAATACGCGAGTTGGATTCCTGAGCCTGTCACGGACCAAGAGTCATATTGATGATGGTCTCTTTTGAAGTTCAATCGGCCCAAATTATGAGATGCAATTGTAATTGGCTGTGGCTGGTCACACAGAATCTTTTGCCCCAACTGCGGGGTCACGATGGTCCGTCAGCGCTAGCATCAGGGCTCGCAAGACTGGAAAACACCAAGTTTTGTATTTTTTTTGCTGTGAAAATGAGCGGAACTCCCTTGGTTCTACGTCCGAAGAATGCAGTGAATGACTCTGAAGATTTGCCTTATGAATACATACCACTCGGCGCGGGGCAGATAAGACTGCTGCGCCTCAACGCCGGCCAAGAAGCAGATCAGCTCAATGGCGAGCTCATTGTTGAAAGCTTCGAAGAGCTGCCCCCGCGACAAAAAGCAGGTACTCCAGCTCCAACAGAACCGATAGATCCGAAGAATTATGTTTGCTTTGACGCGATCTCCTATGTCTGGGGCCAGTCAACCTTCACAGACACCTTCTTCACCCCTCAAGGATCCATCCCGATAACAGCATCACTCGCTTCTATTCTACGCCGACTTCGCGATGAAGAAAAGTCCCACCTATACTGGGCTGACGGCCTTTGCATAAACCAGTCAGATATGGCGGAGAAGGAAGCTCAAGTGTCTCTTATGGGCATCATCTACAGCTCTGCCATGAGGGTTCTGTGCGATATTGGTGAAGAAACGGAGAATATCGCACTTGTACTCGAAGCCATAGAGCGCTACTGGAAGCGAAACATCCGTCATGGATTTGTTATGGGCCAAGGCGACTCCATGATCCTATCAGGAGAGTCAACCGCAAAGCTCATGGGCATCCCATATCCAACAGATGAGGAGGCAGATGCTATTGAAGATGTTGAAGGAGACGAATGGCCTGCGCGCTATCTTGAACTCATCTCCGCGCCATGGTTTCACCGCCTTTGGGTCGTGCAAGAGTTTGTCCTTGGACGTGATGTAGTCATGGTCGTTGGTCGTCGACACATACCTTGGGGACAGCTCTGGGCAGGTACTGTATGGTACAAAGGCGTTGAATGGCCATGGGACTCAGCCAAGTATACGAACGAGGATCTAACAAGCCTCTTCATTTCATACAACGCCATGTGTCTTGTTCGTTCATGTCGACTCATCGATCTCAATACGCCACATGGCCGTGAGTTTAACGACACGGTCAAACTACTCCTTTGTGGAGTCGAGATGAATCAAGCAAACTTGCCGATGTGCATGGTGTTCTTCTGCTCCCACGGCTGCACTGTGCCACGGGACCGTTATTTTGGTATTCTCGGCATGGTTGATGAGGACGACAAAGAGAAAGCACTCAGTCTTCGACCTGACTATACTTCCCCAATGAGGGACATAACGATGCGATTCTGGAAATATGCACTGCAGACCGATTCGGGAGGAGAGCTCATGCTCTGTGCGGGTCTACCAGGTCGCGCCGAAGAATATCCTTCTTGGATACGGGATCTTTCTGCACCGAAACCATTGAATCATATCTGGATAGGAGCTCCTTTAAGTACTGCATGGCACGCAGCAGGGGGGCCAGCAAGCACGTGGTCTGTAGACTTCAGCAAAGATGACACTGATCAGTGTTTTGTCCAAGGGTATCACATCGATGATATCACAGACAAGTCGCCCAATGGGCCTTCTGATCCTTTCAACTTTGTGTCGATGACTCGTTGGATTGAAGAAGCTTTCAACTTCTTCGCTGGGACTGAAACATCAGACGGCGATTCGAATACACTGTATCCTCTGACTGCTGATCCTGTCCGCGAAGCAGCTCTGAAGGTGGTGATGGATTATAACAAACAAGACACCATGAGCCCCGATGACGAAGAATTTAAGGACATGCTGCGTATAGGATTGTCTCTCCCTCGCGTAGCTTTCTCTGAAGATGCTGAGGAAGAGATGGCTGGAGAAGAGGCGGCTGACACAGAGAGCATTGAGGAAGAGGTCACTAAGGAAGAAACCAGCGAGGAAGAGACCATTGAGGAGAGGATTATTTCTGAGTTTAAAGATGAAATACTCACTTTGCAAGAACTCTTCCTCCGTGTACACAAGACAAGAGGATTGGGCTACTATAAAACCGGGAAGGGTCTTTTTGCACTACTGCCAAAGGACACCCGCCCTGATGACTCTGTTTGGATTCTTAAGGGATGCAGATTACCTGTTGTACTACGGCCAAGTATATCGCATGATGATTCATATGAGTTTGTTGGAGGTGGCTATGTGTATGGGATTATGAACGGAGAGATGCTGGAAAAGCCTGGTTTTTCATGGCAAGAAGTTTCGCTCAGATGAGCCAGTCATAGTCAGTCTCGACCGTAACACCTGCAATATGATTTGTTGCCTTGATCTCTAACAGTCTGCACATATTTAACCCTGAGTACCTATGGAGCACTCGTGACCAATCCACCAATTGAAAAGACAGTAGCATGATCCGACTAAAGGCCCTGTCGATGCATGGTTCTGTTGACATGATATACTTTGAGGGACGGGTTAGTCAATACTGAATACTCCCAGTATCACTAAAAAGCTCTTTGCTCCGGAACGCTAAATATCCCAGATTGGGGCTGGTTACTAGTCTCTTTATCTCCCGTCATTATCTCCAAAGCCCTGGGAGCGTGTCTCTATAATGCAGATAGCAGGCTAATTCTCAACTTCACTCTACGGCAGGTTAGCTCCGGCCCCTAGCTAAAGAGTAGGGCTTTTTAATTAACTTATAACATGGTTAATAAGCGAGCTAGCCGGACAAGCAAGTTAGCTACTTTCCTCTTTAACCTATAGGTTAACCCTCCCTGCCTAAGCTATAGGTTTAAAAGATATGGTGCGCAAATTTAGTCTAAATCGCTTTGGTCAAAGCCAAGTAGCTAATTGGCTAAAAAAAGTCCTGCTCCACACTTGGGGTTAATGCCAGAGAAAAAAAGGAGGTCTTAATTAATAGTAAAGAAAATAATAAGAGTACTTATCTATTTACTTTCTGTTGAAGAGATTAAAAAAAAAAGCAATATTAAGCAGCAATGGCAGACTATGTATAATTGAATGAGGAGTATTGGATACTACTTTGTTAGCTCTGCAAGGCAACATCGTGGATCTCAACGCCTAGAAACCTTTTCTTGTTTATAAATAACGATTGAGTAGACGTTGGATAGCTAGGTTCCTGTCGAGGTTAGCAGGTGCCTTGATGGGTTGAGCTGAATCTCAGACACTGTTCAACGCGATAGATTTCAATTTATTCTGATGGTCTGGAGTAGACGAGTCCTTAGGGGGTTCGAATACTTTTAAGTATCCGTGAAACGACGGACAGAGATGTATCTAAGGCTGAAATAAGTGATCTGGAGTTTATTGTGGCGGATGTAAGCAAGGATGCACACGCTAGGAACATTCAGGAAGCGCAAAGGCCTGTCGAAGAATGAGTTTGACATCATACTATCTAAGTTATATTGTTAAAGCGGACAAGGGTTAGATATCTAGCTTTAAGAACGATGGCACCTGATGACAGTGCTGGCAGATATCTCCGTTTATAAACGGACATTAGACGGGCTAGAACACGATACCAAACTGTTAGTATAAACTGGAACCCCACCAAGCCATAAGGTTTTTACAGATAGCCTTTAATAGCGTATCATAGTGATCGCAGCTAGGGGTTAGTTTATTAGCCGCTAAGCCTAGTTTTACATTAGGCCGCCACGGCTGAACAACTGTCGACTACATCATTCTTACCTTGGAACTCAAAAGCCAGTGCAATAGCCAGGATTACAATTGGTAGCCTATAATTGAGCCTTTTCCAGGCCTCACCTGAACTGGACTGCCAGCTGGTACGTGATGGCTGAGGCTAGAACTCAACAGATTGCTCAGCCGCCGCCACAACGCACCATACCCCAAGCTTAACGCCTAGGGTGAATAGATAAGTAGAAATATAAACTCTTTTATACAAGCATCATTATGTTTATCCCCATTGCTAAGCGCATAGTTTATAAAATGAGTTCAAATCACCCAACAAGGCATCCGAGATACGAACCAGTCATTAACCCTCAAGTAAATGAGAGCCAGCCGAGTAATAACTTCTCTCCTATGGATAATAATCTTCCTCGAAATATCCGCTCCGGGCTTGTGTCACGTCTCGGCAAATTCTCAATCGCCTTGCTGATAGGCCTATTCTTGGTCTGTCTAGGGTGCTTGATCTTTTTTGCCTTCTTATGGGGGGCTAATACGAATAACAATATCTGGCGAAGCATTATACTTTCTGGGTGGACGACCCGATCTATCACCATCACGTCCCTTGTTTTAAGATGGGCGACAGCTATGCAAGCGGCAGCATGTACATCCATGCTTGCTGCAATCCTGCTTCAAAATGGCGCAGTCCCGCTACATTCCGCAGCTGTTGTATCCATTATCAGATGCCATAATACAGGCCCTTGGTTGCTCCTGATTAAGATGAGCACAGACTGGCACTACGGATCACTCTTGGTAGGGTTTCTGGTCGCGCTGCTTACTTTGACCACCTTGTCATTACAATTCACTTCGACCGTTTTACTATCACAAGTTGGTATAGCGTCTCTCCCAGTTGCGGTCTCCGTTTCGCAGACATACTATGGCGCAGATATAGAGGGGCCCTCATACATTTCCCAACGTGAAGCATCTCCTTCGTTTCTTAAAACAACCCCTGTGAGATATCCTGCCTTTGCTGAATGGACATTCAATGCAACGGGCACGACTTCCCAGGACGGCGAATTCGCTCCTAACAGCACTACTGGGATAAGAGACACTGGCACCGTCATCCGAGCCTTCCTTCCATTCAAAGAGGACGACGAGCGCCGAAGTTTGATAGAATATCACGGATATGCCACTGCAGTGGATACGAGAGTTGTCTGTATGCGCCCAAAGCTCACGAACGTCTTTTTTAACTCTGGTGAAGGTTACCGCGTAACCGGCCTGGCAGACATTAAGAAAGAGCCGTTGGGCCTTCTTCGGAAGCCAAACGATGAAGGGAGCACAAACTACTCAATGGAATTTGATTGCGGATTTTCTGTCCTTTCAAGGATATTGCCAGAGAAAATGTGGCCGGTCTCTTTATGTGAACTCAGCCAAATGAATTCAAGACAAGGTATGGAAAGCCCTCAAGAGGCTAACTGAAGACCAGTACTGATCACTATGACAGGTATTCACTCGGTCATGGAACCTGAAGGCAAAGAGGAACTGGGGGAATCATACCTTCTCATCAATGCAACAAGGACTGAAACCGTTACTGATTTGGATGACTCAGACGTCTGGGTGTCTATGACACTTGAGGACAGCTACTCCTTTGATGGTGGTTCTGGAGACGAAGAAGAAGAAGATGAGAAGGAATCCATGACTATACAATTCACCCTTTGCATGACTGCGTTCCAAGCGCAAGAGATGGAGATAGACGCGACGAGACCTGTATCATTTCCTCCGGAACCAACCATACATTGGGACACGTCAACTGCCAGTTACGACATTAAGGATGTCCAGCGGCAACTCGGTGCTGGGATATCAAGAGATTCGACGACAGACCGTGGCATATTCGACCTCGCTCATCGTTCATGGAAGCGACCTAATCGATCCGAGTTCTTATCCGTCGATACAAGCGCGTTTTCGACCACTGATGGCCTTGACGCCATCGGGCTCGACGACATGTATAGGAGCGAACTTAACGCCGCTCAATACTCAGTTCTCGCTTATATAGCAACCTACACCGCCGATCCTTCGCTCGCCCTTCAAGCTTACTTTACCACCTTATGCGCACTCTGTTACTACGATCGCATTATTATGTTTGACAAAGCCGCGCCCTCATCAAGAATATCTTTAGTCCAAGTCACTCGACCATTGGGCTGGACTGTCTTTATCATCGTTGCCGGCGTGGCGGTGTTGCATCTTCTCCTAGTCTTACTAGTTGTATTCATATTCCGTCGATCTGGAAGTCTCAGCCGGATCGAGAACGCTTGGGCCTGTGTCTCGCAACTCCTTGGGCCAACCACAGAAGGTTGGATCAGAGACGCAGACATGGTGGACGATGAGACGGTCAAATCGTGGTTGAAGGATCGCGGTATGCACGAAACTTTGGTTCAGGTTGGGAATGTTCAGAATCGCGTGCAACTTGTCGAAAAGGACAAAGTGCTATAGATGTTTTCTGTTTTAATCACACCATAGCTGTCACGAATGATTATTTCATACGATGGTTTCAAGCATTGAGTCACGCATCTGTGGAAGTTAGAGGAACGCCTAGGTTAATAAATAAATCTAATAATAAAAGAATAAAGAGATTTTCCTAGGGTTAGGGTCAGGATAGGTTTAGTATTAACTATCTAAGCTATCTTTGACCTGGTGTTTTCTTCTAATTATAATATAGCTATAAAGAAGATATAAAGATAACGTGGTTAATAAGCAAGCGCTCTAGATAAGCAAGCGCTCTACTTTCCTTAACCTTTTCAAGCTATAGCTTGAAAGCTCAGGCTGCAGTTTAAAAAGGCTGGCTTTTACCTACTAAATTCCTCCCTAGATAACTTAAAAACTACCTAATAAGTCCTAGTATTATAACTGCCTTTACTATATATACTATAGCGCTAACTACCTGGTTACTCTGACCTTCCTTGACTACTACTTCTTAATAATTCGGCTACTACCTGTATATTAATATCTATCTGATTAATTACTTGCAATACTTCCTATATAATTATAATCCCTCCTTTCTGTAATCTAGTCCTTTTTGCCCTCTGGCGCTAACTTAGTATCTTATTTGCATCTTAAAGATTATAAAGCTTAGCCCTTAATAAGGTAACCTTATATATAACTGCCTTTATTGCCTTAATAGCTGACTTTAAAGCTTTAATAATAGACTCTAGGGAGCTACTATAATGCCTTCTGATTTGCCTTTTAAGGTATTTAAACTAAGATTAGGCCTTAATTACTATCTTTAGGGTCTTTGAAGCCTATGGTATTAATAGTTAAGTAGTCTCCTCAGGAGGGGTTAGGGTCTATAGCTGCATATTAAGCTTTAAGATTACAGTTTCTAGGTTAAGAGGAGTAAGCCTAGCTCCTCTAAAATCCCCCTAGATATTGCTTTCTATAAAGGTAGCTCTAAATATAATATAAAAGGCAGAAAAGAACTTAATCTTAGAAATATAAGTTATAAAGTATCTAATTAGATGCTCTATTTCTTGACTATAAGCCTGTTTTAGCGGCCCAAAGCACCTAATATTAAGAGGCTAAAGTAGATAAGATATATAAGCAGGTATATAGAGTATAATAATCTTATTCTCCTTATAATATCTCTTAAAATCGGCCAAATAATAGCTTTTATAACTATTAAGGATCAGGAGATAATAGTAACTAGTTAATTGGTTCTTTATAGACTAATTAAAGTGCTTTAGCTACTTAAGACCTAGCTTATTATTTATCTATCCATTTTAGCTTATTATAATAACCTAATTGCCTAGGAGGTTATATTCTTAGTACTAATTTATAAGGTAATATTAGCCTATACTAATAATAAATAGTATAATTAATTAACCTTTTATATTAATTGCCTAGATTATAGTAATCTATTCTTGGTTTCTAGGCTATACTAATTTTAGCCTTTCTTATATTTCTAAACCTATAATAGCTATTCTAGCCATAAT